AACTTGAATAATGAAAATACATTTAAATAGGTCATTAAATCATTAATTTAAACGCATCCCTTTACCATTTCGAGTATCAATTATATATCAATTATCAATTAAACATATATTATATGTATCAATTATATTTTTTTAAATTTGTGAACCGTTTTAGAATATCTTATGGAACATGCCATGAAGTTCGAGCACCATTTTCAAACTAAAATATTTCATAACTTGTTAGCGGAGTGGCAACATAAAGATTAACAACACTAAATCGAACCTCTCTGGATTGTGTAAAAAAAATGTTCTGCAGTTTTATTCTCGCATAAGTAAAGAACGGAAAATCAAAGGTTTTCAGTTGAAAATAGATTTAAAATGTACGTTACATTAAAAAAGTTAACATCCTAAAAAGTTGTCTTATTTACATATTTATTAAGTAGCAGTATACACAGCAAAAGAAATGTACCAATAAACTATAAATGTCGATTAATTGTGCAAATCATTGTCAAGTACAATATCCCAATATTGAGTGATAAAATCGCAAGATTTCTAAGAACTGGTGATGGTATTTTACTTAGCCAAATTTCTTGTCAATAAAAATTACACATTGTAGCATTAGCCTCTCTGTTAGACTTTTTGGAAGATCTTTTGTCCAGAACCTATTTTGTAATGGGATATAATAATAAAATATGGAAATCACGACTATTATACCAACAATCAGTTTCCACTTTTGCTGGTTTAAAATGGATTCGACTTAAAAGGTAATAAATTAAATACTAAATAGCACAGAAATGTGTTTATATTTATATTAAAACGGATACTCGTGGCTAGAGCATACACCAAGTTATGCCTCTTTAATGTACTGCATATGAGTACATACACATGTATGTATATATGTATATACAAAACTTGTATACCCGGTACTCGAAGAGTAAATGTGCACTTTGTGCACAAATACAATTTACCCTTTGTATATGTAACGCACAGAAGGAAACTTTTCCGACCCCATAAAGTATTTACATACATATATTCTTGATCATCATCAATAACCGAGTCTATGTATGTCTGTTTGTCTGTCCGTCTGTCCGCCTTGTTCGTCGGCAAGTTCTCAGAGACTATAAAAGCAAGATGGGCTCTGTCAAAAAAGACGATCACCGCTCAATTGGCAAAAGACCAACGAATGGCCACTCTTTGCATCAGTGGCGCTCTCCGCACCGACCCAACTGATGCACTAAAAGCCATCGTATGCCTGCAGGGCATAGACCTTGCAGGAAAGGAACAGGCAGTAAAGGCAGCAATACGTCACCGCACTGTGGCCACTCGGCGATCCTTAGGGACAACAACATAGTACCTCACAAAACGATCAGTGACAAATTGCCGCAAATATCTACATGAGATGGCAGAGAAATATGTTATTAGCCTAAAATGGGTCCCGGGACAGCAGGACATTGAAGGCATATCAGACGAGTTGGCCAGATCCGGCACTACATTCCCCCTTAACCAAGGTAAGAAGGAAATCCGTGTGCCAATAGCCACTTGTAAGCTTGGTGCCCGCTTTAAACGAGGAGGAGACAGTGGAACATCTGGTTTGCTCTTGTCTGGCTCTCAGTAGAAGAAGGCTAAGATATCTAGGCTCGCCTTTTCTACACGACATTTCAGAAATGGCTACTATAGGTCCCAGGGAGATAGCAAACTTTGTGAGGGCATCGGGATGGGACCACAAAGCGGAAGGAGGAGTGGATCCAAGAGTAATCACAACGGACTGAAACCGGCCTAAGTGTGTCGGGATTTTGACAATCTCGACAACCGCCACAACCAAACCTAACTAACCAACATACATATATTCTTGATCAGCATCAATAGCCGGTCTATGTCTGCTTTTCTGTCCGTATGGCCGTCTGAGACGTTTCTCAGTTTCTCTCACTACATTTTTTGTGAAGACTCATTTGTTAGCACATTGAACACCCAAAAAGGGTTCAATTCTCTCAAATTCATGGATGTTGTGGTTCCAAGATGGCGCACTACCGCTGAGATGTGAAAGTTCAGTTGGCAGACCATGCTTACCAAGATATGAGACTTGAGACTTGTATATATGGTTTCTGACAGAAGTTCTACAAGTGGACTTTATACTCTGCTGGGACCGCTAGGGCACATTGATTTCAACCTTGGGAATTAACTCTAATTTCTTTGAAAATAAAAACATATTTTAAGAACTAAGAACCCCCAAAAACGTATATGTATTTATGTACATATACTCTCCACTGCCAAGGAGTAGTTTTAGATAGGTTACAGGCAGCTGTACTTCAAGAGGACTTGCTAGTACTCAGCTCGTTTGTCTAGGTTAAACTAGGTTTAATTAAATGTTGATTAATTGCTTTGATATCGAAGCGAATGGAGAACGAAGTGATGGTACTGGTACACCGTAAGCCTACTGCAGGTCATTAGAAACAAAAGCGAAATCATTTGGTTTAAGTACTTTTGCATTGTTCCACTGACGCTAATGAATGCACCACGGGCTGGTTGCACTGCGGGGCAGCCTTAGGTAGAAATTCTAGTTCGTAGGTGGTTTTAAGGCCCCTGTCATAAAGGAGATTTCATTCACGACTTGGAACGCGGTGGGTCGATGGATTCATATTCATTCATAAACTGGGATTGCCAGGATTCGGAAAGGTGTTTATGTGGGATCAGGTAGAGGTGTCTAAGGATCTACGGTGTGCGGGTTCGGTGAGGGGTGGTGAGGCTGTAAAAGCTTATTTGCGTAGGCTAGCACTTACTCTTGCAGCCGCCTCGGTGCGCTATAAGTGCTGGGCATTTCCCCCGGTAGGTTCTTTAAGTAATGAGCGACGGAATTCCCGGCCACTCGTCTCGGGCCCGAATCTCGTGGCTGAGGCGTCGGTGTCATAAACGTCAACCTACCTAGGACAATGCGGCACTCGTAAATGGCAAGAAAGGAAGTTATAAAATAATTAAACACCGCCACCGCTGGCCATTTCATTCATGGAAAGTCTGCTGCTCTGAGCCGCCATGCGTAATTAGAGCAAAGAGATACATAGTTCAGATAAGCATGGGGCGGCATGTTCACATTTCGATTAATTAGGAAATTTTAGACAACGGCGACACCACGTGATCGGGGAAAACACATTGTACATACTTACTCGTACTCGTATCCTAACCAAACTCTGGCTTGCCAATGGAAACTTGGGAACACTGGCACACATCGACTGTTTGTCTTCCTCCGCGACCGACATTAGGCACGATGGATTCAGTTGGATTGCATGTCTCGTTTAGGCCAAGATTAGCGGGCGACCGACTCAATCCGCAATCAGTTAAGTTCAGATCAGATCAGATCAGATCAGATCAGGCTGAATACTCACACATCCGGCTCTGGGGCGGATAAGGACGCCAGGCTTATAAAGTGGATCACTCCACTCTTGGGACTAGGTGTGATCTTTATTGATCTTCACGATCACGTATTGATCAGACTGCGATTAGACTAACAACTGGCATGGATACACGATGACGATCTTCCTTACATGAAACGGTCTGCAAGAAATCCCCTTTTCCATGGAATGGAGAAGTTCTTTCCGTATTTAATTCGATTTAAAACAGCTCGTGCATTGGTCACACAAATCAAACGCGTCTTAATCGAATAACAAAGTCATTTCCAAAATTCAAGTAAAGAGTACCAAGATAATTAGATAATCTCTTGGATATATTTAAATATCTCTTAGTATAATCTCGGCAACACACGTTAAATAGATAGATCCCAATAAATTAATCATCTTAAAAAAAACTTAAATGGTTCTAGACTGTCTGTCTATACACATTGTACATATGTACGAGTATTGCCCACAATATTAATATTTATTTACACTCGGAACTTCTTGTACAGTTTCCCTTTTTCTTTGTATATCAGCCACATCTCCGCCGGTTATATATCCATTGTGCGTTTTATCTATTCCAATTAATCTAGTCCCAGAATCCCGAATCCCGAATCCCGCCAGGGCATACGCCCTCCGACGGCAGTAAAGTTGCCAATGTCGACCCCCGCCCAAGCCGGCTCATCCCCAAATAATAAAGTTTAGGCAAACTGTACTGGCAGCTCTCTACATGCTCAAACCTCTTCTGTAGTCCTCGCCCTCAAGCCCCCCGGAAAATGCGTCGACTGTGGTTGTTATGTACAGCTGTGCACGTATCTGTGAATCCTTAGCCCTTGGCCCACACTTTGCATATTTGGGCGGAAGCAGCAGCAGCAGCAGCGACAACCCCTAGGAAAAGCACAAAGCACTTAATTCAATAATAAATTGCCACCACAAGAGGCGGCGAATCATCAGCCGGAGCGGAGTCAGGAGGTCTGCAGATAACCAAGTCACGAATATAGCACAGTAACCAAAAAGGCGGAGAGGGGAACGCAGACCAGAGACCAACGCAACTCGAGTCGAAGCCAAGCCCAGTCGTGCCTCACGGAACTGGGATCGTGTGAGTGGGGAGAGCCCTGTCGGCTGTGGGCTTGCGGTGGGTAAGCGTAAAATTCATAATCGTGAATGCTTCAGTAAAAGTTGCGCCCAAATCCGAGAGCCACCCCGCAGGGAATTGTCGAGCAAAAATAGATAGATATACCACAGGGGGAAGGGGTGGTGGCAAGGCATGAAAAACGAAAGTCAAGGAAGCTGCCGAAAACTACGCAGGACTCAACACACGTATATGAATATGTGTATGTATTTATGTAAATATTAAATTATGTACTGGGAATACGCAGCGACCCTGCGTGAGCGGCCATATTGTTGTGTTGGACGAAAACAACCCTGAAGCGTGCCTCTCGCTCGCACAGGGCCAGCGGCGACAGACAGACAACAAATCGATGAATGAAGCGAATCATTGTGTGTGTGTGTGTGTGAGCGTGCGTTTGTAGGTAGAGTCGCCCGTAGGCCCATGGGCTGAGCAGAGCAGAGCAGAGTCCTTCGAGAGAAGTCTCTTTAAATGGTGCGCCGCTCGGGCAGAAGAGCTCAGTTCGATTTGAGATCTTGCAGCGCACACACAGCTCCGGCCCCGTCCATTCCATTCCATTCCATTCCATTTGTTCCAGACAAAGTGTGTGTCCCTCAACCAAAAAGTGTGCTCCCGTGAACCAAAGAAAGAGAGTGAGAGCACCGAAATGTCGACTATTAACCTGCACCCCCCGCAAACGTACTCGCGCTTGTTCCGTCCCTGGGATACTCAGAGGCAGGCACAGGCACAGGCACCGGCACCAGCACAAGCACAAGCACAAGCACTTTCAACCGCCCCACCAACCAGGACCGTGAAGAACGAGCCGGACACGGTTACCATCAAAACGGAGCTACCCAGGAGCAGTTTCGGCCACGACAGCGACCGCGACTCCTCCTCCTCCTCCTCGTCACACAGCAGCAGCAGCAGCAGGAGCTGCAGCAGTAGCAGCAAGTCCAGCTGCGATGATGGATACACTCGCACCTCCACCCCCCTGCTGGATGTTACTCCGCAGCCCGTCTTCCCGCATCCCTCGTGCTCCTCCACGTCGGCCTCCCCGACTCTGGCGCCATCCCAGCAGATGTCGGCGCAGCATTCGTCCCCCTTCATGCCGGCGGCCAGCGATCTGTACTATGCTGCTGCCGCAGCTGCAGCCGCTGCCGCCGCTGCAGGCACTCCCGCCGGTGCCGCTGCTGCTGCCGGCTTCGGAATGGATCCGTTTACGCTCGGTCTGATGGAGCAGGAGTATGCCCGGGTGATGGCCGAGGACGCCCAGCTAAAGGCCCTGAACGCCCGCAAGCAGCGCCCAAAGAAGTTCAAGTGCCCGCACTGCGACGTGGCGTTCTCCAACAACGGCCAGCTAAAGGGACACATTCGCATTCACACCGGTAAGTCGACCAGAAAACTCCATAATGAGGCATTCCGAACTCACAGATCCACTTTTCCCTCTTCCCTACTTCAGGCGAACGCCCCTTCAAGTGCGATGTGGACACTTGCGGAAAAACCTTCACCCGCAACGAGGAGCTGACGCGCCACAAACGCATCCACACTGGACTGCGTCCGTATCCGTGCAGCGCCTGCGGAAAGAAGTTTGGTCGCCGAGACCACCTGAAGAAGCACATGAAGACGCATATGCCTCAGGAGCGCCAGCTGGGTCCGGCCATCTTCGTGCCAATGTACCCATATCTGTATGGCTACTAAAGTCACTGAGGGAGCTCCAGCTCAAGAGATCTGTGAAGCGCTTGCACGCTTTAAAAACGCTACAAAGCCCTTATGCACATAACCGCCAATGCCAACGACAACATAACGATAACGACTCAATGCCGGCCAATACTCAATTTCCCATCTTGGATAGATCTACCTCAGCCGTACCTGGCGCAATCTAGCGCACTCACTAGCCGCTAACAACCTCAGAGTCTCACAGTCTCAGTGAGAGAGAGAGAGAGAGAGAGAGAGAGAGGGAGAAAGAGAAAGAGAAAGAGAACCCGGTGCCCCTCGACGATATATGCAAATATTGAGATATTTATTTTTTAACTAATATTTACACAACGTGACGCTAAGTGACGAGTTAGGAGCGTAGCGTACAAAAGAGAAGTAATGGAAAGAGAACCCAGCATTTGTGTAAATACCTCCTTAAGTGATCCTTCCTCATATGCTAAGCGATTAAGAGATTTAAGAGATACTATATACCTGTATACACACACAATCTTTATTAGATCTAAGCAGATTTTTCACATTTTATATGCTGAATACGCGGTTACTAGCAATATACGATTTATACCTAGACATTTAGATATAGAATCATAGTTAAATATTCAGAGTTGCATTATACGATTTATGTTTACACCATGAAATACAAATTTTCCAAAAATCAAATCATTTTCAAGTTCGTTTCTTTGAAGCCTTCCAGAACCTTTGAGGATATTTGAAGCACCTTCAGATCTTCGGGGAAAAGTTTGATCGACTTTTGGTTCGGGAATGGCACTGCCGAACGAGACCCCATTCAATAGAGTTCCATTTCGCCATTTTGTGTGAATGTTAATTACTGTTTCTGTCACTTCCCGCTAACCAGATCATTTTAAAATCGACCAAGTCATCCCGGCAGCATCAAAGCGAACCTGCTAATGCATTCATCCTAGACACCAAAGGGTTGGGTTTGCTTTAAATGCACAAGTCATTTGAGAAAAATCTGCCAAAAATTCCATTCATTAAAATGCAGAATAATCCATTACGGTCAGGCGGGGCCAGAATGGCTGAAAGTACGACTGCCTTCCCCTTCCTGGCTAAATGCAATCCTTCGTTCATTGCAAAAGGAATGCGAATCAAAGGGTCAAACTTCTCCATTTCAGTTGGCAGAGATCGCCGGGCAATCATTTCACACAGTTTCCCACAATCCCCCCCAGCTCACATTCATATCCCAGAGCAATTGTACAAGGGGCTTGCCATTACTCACCTGACAGCTTGCGTCATTCATAAGGACAATGGAGTGGGCCACCGTAGCCAGCAGACTGAGTGTCTGCAGCAAGTCGAAAGGACACTTACTCGCATTTGTGGAATTTGTTATGCGAACAAGCGATCTATCTGTCGATCCCTGGTCACTATCAATGTGACTTCCACACCAGCGGACAAAAGATCAAATTCTGAAATGGGAACCGTAGCAGACTGGTGGGCATCAGCAACGGCAACGGCAACGGCAACTGTCTGGTGAACGAGTCTCAACCTTTTACAGGACAATGGCAAATTCGGTCGCTTGATAGGGGCGTGCAGTTCTCACATTTACCTGTCCCCTACCTGTCCGCCCAGATCCTGAGAACATTTTCGTGCCTGGCAGACACTGCGTCGTCGCACAAGTGATACAAGTGAACAATGATATACTCGTACATGTACAATAATTTGTCCTTCGATTCGAATAATTCGAGTTCGGACCTTTGCAGCAAACAAGTCGGCTGCTCCTTGGCCACTTGGCCGAATATTCAAGAGCCTCCACAGTGCATTTGAAACAAGTTCAAATACAAATTTCTCAACATAAAAATCCATCTATCGCTCAGTTCTTTGCGTCATTTTTTAGATATTGTTAGGTAATTGCCGGCAATTAATTAAAGCATTCGCCTGAAAAGAGAATTCCGTAATCTCGGGTGTGGGAATCGTGCATGATAAATGTACCTACCACATCATATGTTGTATGTCGATCACAACTGGACTGACAAGTGTTAACTCACGACGACAGTTGAAAAATGTGTCCAGAAAAACAACAATCTGTAAATTAAACAAGGATTCCTTCTTAGTAATTTCAACATGCCCTTGACCTGATAAAAAACTACTTTCATTTCATTTCTGATCAAACTATGCACCAAACAGTTGTACAAATAAAAAAATAATGTTATTATAAAATGAATGGCTATCTCATTTTGGTACGCAGAAACTCACCCCATAAAGTGTTCACCCATATGGCCGTTCCCTAAACATACATACATATGTATGTATGTACTATAGCAGTCTAAAGTTTCTGAACGTTTTTCTTGAATGGGTGTGCACCTGTAAATATCTACCGAATAAATAACGAATATACTAGTGCCTATTCGACGCATCTGACTCCATAAAAAGCACTACAAATTTAGCAAAAACATCTTACAACAGCGTCTTTGTACTTTTCCCTAGACCAATTTTAGAGCGTATTTGAATATAGATTTTGTGCTGCTTGGTTGAATGCCATTTTTCCTTTCAATATGCAAGGCCGAGATAAATGAGGGCCGTTTATAATTGTTACTTTACAATTGATGTTTTATTTTTTAAATGGCAGTTCCAAACAAATCTTTATATCAGTGCACACAAACCAGTGCATACTTATGTACATACGTTGTGTGTCCACTATTTCAAATGCTATGGCGTTTAACAGCTGTAAGATATCCATGACTTATTTACTTAATTACCGAAACATAATATTATAGTCTGATTTTCTAATTTCGATTAGAAACAATGGTTTTGATATGTTTCGACTAAACATTGGCACCTTGCATCTGATTGGTACGTATTGAAAATTAAACCGACCCGTTTTCAAGCTTTTAATTAATTCTGATAATGAGAAGCTGTTTATACTTGAGTATATTTGTAGTCATGAATACACATTGAGAATTTTGCAAAAGTAAAATGGAGCAAGTTTTATACCCTCAAAAACAGATACAATTTTAGTAATTATAGACATTGGTTTACTATGCTGCCAGATGCGCTGACCTCAGGTTGGTTCGATAGTCACTTAATCAACTCAAATCCACACTTTATACTTAATTGCCTCATTAATTAGCTCCTTCAGATATTCGTACCTTTTGTATAATCAATGCGCTTGAAAGTAATTCATTTGCAAGGTGACAGAACAACTCTTATCCATATACTTATGTATGTATAATAGTATAGTCATCTAAGAAAAAAAAATACTCTTCTACCCATCTATCTATAATAAAATATTTTGTATGATTAAGTGGGGAAAATATCTAAACGGATATACTTTGAAAATATAAAATACACATATGTATATGTGTTAAGTGTTATCCAGTTCAGCTACAGAGCTGCGTTGGGAGTACCAACCTTTTGAAGCGCAAGTTGTTCTCAGTAAAGTCTTCAGTAGTCTTCAGGCATGTGAGCTTACCACGCCAGATATCTTCAAAAAAATGCACTGGGCTTAAGAAGCTTTTAGAAGTAAGACGTGTGGGCTTTTGGCTTTGTCGAATCAGGACAACAAATGGATATATTAAAATAAGGAATAGGCAAGGAACAGTCATGCAGTGGACCAAACACCCTACGGTTGGTTTTGGCTCACAATTAAGGCGATCGATTTACTTCGAAAGCATTGAAAACGGTAAAAAGTTCACCAAAGAAGTCTTTTTTGGATAGATTTGATATTCATTGTTTTTTTTTGGAAGGACCAATGGGATCCTAATTGGATATTCCACAAACTGTGGACCCCCAAAAAACATGTTTCCAGCTACAATCTGGAAGAGTTCTTAGAAGCTAAGTATAATTGATGTACAAATCGAAACAGACTGCAACATAGAAGTGTGCATCACAATATTGTTTCGCCAACAATATGGGACAGAAGAAAGAAAGCAGTTACTTCCTAACGTGAAAGTAGTTCGGCAATCAATAACCCACTGACGTACGGGTACAATTGCCTTGTAGGAGGCACTAGGCCTATCTGCCATTCATGACCACAAAAAGGCCAAACAAGAGTCTTCGGGTGGTCCCTAGCTAGATTTCGCAACGAGGTAATTGCCAGCGACTACCAGAAAGTGGTTCTCTCTCCTGGACACCTCTGGGGGCCACCCATAGTGCCCAAAGTGAGAAATTGAAATGTCCTTTGTGCCACTAATAGAGAAATATACGGGCCAAAATTTCGCAATGCAACAATGGCTAGGCCCAAAGCCAAGCAATTGAATGAGAAGCAGCTCGAAAACCCAATGAAAAATGAAAGGAAAGCAAGGAAATGAGCATCAAGTGAGGGAACAAAATAAAAAATGGAGTCGACCGTCTTGGTGGGTAAATACCAATCTCTGGTCTTGTCTAACTGCTACCTTTCCCAGCGCCAGTTCTGAGTTAAGCAAAGTGCGGTGACTGTTTTGCAACCCCTCGCCAGCAGCAACCCTCATCCCTTGTGCACGCACACATATAGATGGGCAAAAGGGAGAGTGAGAGCGAGAGCGAGCACACCCAGTGGTTGGTAGGGGGTAGTGGCGGGGGTAGTGGTCGGGGCTGACGTTTAATACAAAGTGTCAGAAGATCCATTTAATTGTAAAATTTATTGGCCAGCAGCAACAGAAACAGAGACTGGAACAACGGGCAGGACAGGAGACAGTTTGTCTGGCCCTCTTGTTGTTGGTTTTCCTTTGGGCCATTCGAGGAGTATGTTCTGCGGTTTCTGGAAATGCTTTTATAGAAAACAGAAACAGACCAGGCTATAAAGAACCAAAGACAAATTCGATTAAGCAAACGGATTAACTTCGAAGTACTTGTACAGGCGTAAGGTTCCACAGATCGAGGCACCCATATGTACATATGTCATATGTACAAACGTGGTATGTGGTGTGTGGAGGAGTGTGGTGTGGTGTGGCTTGCATGTTGGTTAGTTATAAGTCCCTTCGCTCGATGAGACTTTCCAGTCAATTATACAATGTATTTGTACAGGCTGTGTTGAGGACGCTTGGTGTCGCACAAGATTTCCAGTTTACATAGTTTATCATCCGGGCGGCTTTGGCGGCATTACTCTACTCGTATTTTCCAAGGGTCGTCCCGGCAAATCCTAGGCGGAAAAGTGGGTATGGCCCGACACACGCTAAACGATGCCTTTATCTGCACAAACACTCTTAATAAGTCGATTGTCCGTTTCCTAATCTTGGTCCCGTCTCGGGACCTAATGAGCATCTCCCTCCATTATCTTGCCATGCAAATGCATGCAATTTCTGGTCTAATCCTAACGCCACGACTTGCATAATGTCTTCCTGTGCACACACACACACAAACACACACACACAGAACTCAGGGAGAGTACGTCACTTGGTTTGTCCAGGTCCCCCTCACACATGGCATCGGTAACATCCTAAGCTGTTTGTCCAGATAAACCACAGACACAGGACATGTACACGTACAGACAGTAGGCGATCTCCGAACGAGAGATCCATGATACCATGACTAAAAGTATGGCTTTAGGAATCTCAACCTTCCAGCACAATCTCCTGTGGGCAGTATGCGTATACCCCGCTCGAACCTCAATCATCATTATTATGCAATTACATTTACCATTGGCAAATCAAACCAAAAACCAATAGCCTATGATCATGACCAACAACCAAAACAAAGCCCGGACAGCCCCCAGCTGGGAGACAAGCCCAAAAGGCAAACAGTAGGTGGTGCCGGAAGTGCCGTACAATGCCAAAACGGACTGGCGACTTTTTGTGCAGTTTTCCCATCAACATGAGCCCAAGCCCAACAAACTAATCAAAACTAATGATGACATAATTGGCTCGATCGGGTCGTAGAGAGAGACGAGAGCAGGAGCAGGAGCAGTCACAGCAGCAGCAGCAGCAGCACCAGAAGGTGCCGAGTCCTGTGCGGGTCCTATAGTATAATTGAATAGGAAGTGCCTGCCGCAGATCAACACAATGCCACACAAATCGACCTTTGTCTTGACAAGGAAACAGCCATCACTCAGAGGCGCTCACAAAGACGAATAAGTTATAGGTAAAAAAGGTAATTGATTCCTTTGCCAAATTCAATGCGATGACACCAAGATTTTGCTGCACGCAGTGTGGTCTTGGCCTCGATCCGGTGCCGCAATTAGCTGGAACCAACACATAATAGAGGGAAATATTGTGACACTTGGAAAAGGCAAAATTCTTAAGCAATTCATCAAAAAGTAGCCACATGCACTGCTTTGCTTCATGTCACAAATGACTCTTTCCGCAGAGACTTTTTTTTCCTTGCGGATGTTGCCCGCGGCGTAGCGTGTGCTACTGCAAAAGCACATTTCCCTCGGGGATCGTCTTAAAACGTTAATGGCCTACACCCTGAACTGATGTATCAATTAGGGAGCAACGAGTGTGTGTTCTGTATTTCTTAACCATGACTGTTGCTGTATTTGTATGCACATCAAAAATTCCTCTACATATGTATGTGTATGTACTTACAAGGTATAGAAAACAGAGTATGTAAAGGTCATTCGAGTGTATAAAATGTATATAGTAGATAAATGTAGTTGTATAAGTAAATAGAGATATGTATGTATGTGCGGGCAGTATCAAATGCTTTGCTCCATCAAGTTTGTTCATAATGCTTTTCAGACTTCAGCCGGCCACTGAAATATCTCAGCGTTCACGGACATGGTTAAGTATGTATAAATATTCAATATGTGTAAATATGTGGAATATGTTGGAGTGGATATGTGTAGCCCTTCTTCCTGGCAAGCAAAGGCGTTAAGTAAGGCACAAGCATTTGAGCCACTGAGATTACTTGGTGGTCGCTACTCGTCCCCATATTCGAGTAGAGGTCATTTGAGGTCCATTTAGGATTGCTTCCGGCAGCCACTCCTAGTACAGCATTATGGCGGCCTGATGCTTGTCCTTGCTTTCTGGCTCTAGCCGAAGGCGGCGGTCGCGGCTTTCGCGGCGTCTGGCATATAGGAGAATGGTTATGTTGATCAGCACCACAATGGTGGATATCACGACCAAGTAGAAGCTATAGCCCAGATAAGCCAGCCCAGTGCTATACCAGTGATGCTGCTGGTGCTCGGTGAGTAGCACGTTGTGTACGAGATACTGGTAAAACTGCACTAGCCATGCAACAAATGCAACAACCTGCGCTCCCGCGGCTGACATGTTGGCAGTAAGAAGCAGAACCATGGTGCCTCCTCTTTTGGCTGCCGAGGCAGACTTTAGGACAGCAGCAATAGCTGCCACGGCGCAGGCCAAGAGGCCGAATCCAGTGCCCAATGTCGTAAGAAGCCAAAGCCAGAAGCTTGTGTCGCCGTTCTCAGTTCGAATAAAGGTGTAAACTGCAAGGAAACATACCATTACTTCTGGATTTCGTTCTAAAATGTTCGGAGGCTCACCATCTACCGGATATGTTCGAGGCCCATAGCCGAGGTTTAGGTGCTGGTTTCCATAGAAAAGTCCAAAATTGACATCGCCCTTAGAATCTGATGAATTGTGTCGCCGTGGATTGGCGCGAACCCAGTGGTTAGTGGTCATGCTAACAAGCAACAGGCCGATGGCCAAGCAGCTTCCAAAAAATGTGGAAAAGACCAAGGCACGAGTGCGCATGCTCATCTTGATAAAACTTCTGATGACCGGGGGCAGGAGCAGATCGGTTTTCACCATTTAGAAATCGTCAACACGAAAGACTTAAACTGCAACGAAGAAAGTTCCCGTTCGTTGTTGAATGCGCCACAAAAGAAAATCCATCTTTACTCACCCTTTTCGACTTATTGGCTGGACACAGGTGTAGACAGACTCTTTGTTAAACTTTCCTTGTTTTATTTTGAAATATTAATATCTTTGTTATTTATCTTATAAGTTATTGAAATACGGTAACATCTTTTGTGCACCCTTTCCAGTGCTGGCACAATTTCAGAAGTGCACAAGTAGACAACGAGAAGTTAGCAAAAAATGGCTAAAACAAAATAATAATTTATATATTCTGCTTTTTGATATTTCGATGAAAAACCGAATTATAAATCCAAGGAACAAACATTATGTATTTAATGTTTTAAATGCAGATATAAAATCCGGAAAATATTTAATTTTATTTAAAACACTATGATAGTCAACAAATAAAAATGCTAGATATAGCCTGAAATAGGCTAACGTGGCAACACCGACTTTGTCTACTTGGGCAACGTTCAGCGCTACCAGATCAATTTACTTTTTGCGATATACGATATATTAAACATTATATAGATAACTTTATTATGGGCAGATATTAGCAGTTTTAAATAATTTATAAATTACGCCTTCAATAATATTAATAAAGGTTTAGTAATAAGGAGCCTTAATATAATGGAAAATAAATCGTGTCCACCCCGTGTTAATATTTCACAGCAATGACAACTCTGTGAAAATAGCGCGAAAATTTTGTCTGCTTTGCGGAAAAAACAAAGTGAAATTTCGTCCAAATATGAGTAGCCGTAAACACAGGGGACACGAAAATATGGAAAATCTGTGCCCCGTCACCAGGTAATTATGGTGGCCAAGTAGCCGACGTTCAGTGATATCGGGGGACTCTTCAATTGAAAGTGCACACCGTGACGTCACAGGCACTTGAACGAAAAGAGGTCAAAAATACAAATTGTTGACTAATTAAATTGCCGGGTACTTGACCTATGTGCTGATTGAGGCACTTTCTTAATAAGTATTTATTGTAAATGCACTTCCGTCACTCATTGCAGAAAACGCGCAACAAGTAAAAATCTCGCTGTAGGTGTGGGCACTGTCCTTTGCGCCACAAAATCGTCTCATTACGAACACACTTCCTCGCCATCTGCACTAACCTTCGAGGCCCTAGAAGAGATGGGTGTTGGAATGTTGGACTCCGAGGAGAGCAGCTCATCAGCCATGTCAGCCATTGCGCTGGTCGTGAGTACGAGTGCAAACATCGATGACAATTCCAACGAGACTACGCCTCATGCCAATGTGGCGCGTATGTCGCATCTGCAGCCCCAACGCCTCAGTGTTAGCTCCACAGCCGAAACAACGTTGGATAGCAGTGGGAGCAACACGACCATCGTCGACGATGTGCAGCAGAAGCTTCAAGCTCTGGCCCAAGCCAAGCGCTCGGCTCTGAGTTCTGAGTGTAGCAGCAACTCGAACTCCCCCAGCAAACGGACGCGAAACCCACTAGCCGCAGTTTTATGCAACAATCAGTGCGACTCTGCAGCTCCGCTTAACATGCAGCCCTCCACCAGCAGGCAGGCTCTCCGTCAGCACAAGAAGCCGACCGCTGCGCCTACGCCCCATTTGGTGCCCAATAGTCTGGTGGGAAAAGACAGCTTCTTCGTGTATCGAACGGCCGCAATGAGTGCCCACATCAACAGTGGAATAAACTACTTCGACAAGTTGTCCGATGAGATTTTACTGGACATTTTCAAGTGGCTACCAAAAAAAACACTTTTGCGCATGGCGACTGTGAGTCGACGTTTCAACCGATGTTCCCGTGATGAAACTCTTTGGACACGGTTGGATCTTGGCTTACGCACACTTTGTCCAGCTGCTCTCGAACAGATTGTGCGCCGGGGCGTCTTGGTGCTGCGTTTGGCGCAGGCTAATGTGAGTAGTAGTCTATACTTATTGTGGTGCTATGCCTTTTAAATCTCTTTGTCATTTATGTAGATACAAGAGCCCGCCTTCACACCATTGGTCTCCGAATTTAAGTCCCGCTTGCTGTATCTGGACTTGAGCATGACTTCCATTAGCCGAATGTCATTGCGCACCCTTATATCCCAGTGCCGGCAGCTAAAAAAACTAAGCCTGGAGAATGCAGAGCTTAATGATGAAATTTGCGCCGAGATTGCAAAAAACAAATTTTTGGAGGCACTGAATCTTACTATGGCTAGCGGCTTAACGGCCAGGAGTGTGCGACTGATGATGGAATCCCTCACAAATCTAAGCAGCTTAAACATTTCATGGACAGATTTGAGTGCCGATGCTGTCACTGCCTTGGTCACGCACATTTCACCCAATGTCATCCGTCTCAACGTGGCTGGCTGCCGACGCGTACTGTTCGATTCCCGTAAGCTAAGCATACTAGCATCCCCTTTTATATTTGTATCTCATATATGCTTCACATCCTCAGATGTGAGATCGTTGCAGACCCGTTGCCCCCAGCTTTTAGAGCTCGATCTGTCGGACTGCAACAGCCTGACGCCAGCGGCCATTGAGGCAATTATGCAGTTCCAAATGCTGGAATATTTGTCCGTTTCTCGCTGCTACCTTATTCCGCCGGCCAGCTTTGTGTAAGTGCATTGATTCCACTCTCATTAACAGATGGTAGGTAACAGTCTCTATTGCTTTTTCAGTGAATTGAAGGAAATGTCCTCTCTCACGTATCTGGACATTTTTGGAATGCTTTCGGACGGGGCAATGGAAGCGCTTGAACAGCAGATGCCCAAGATGGGGATCAACAAGTTTATTCATAGTTCAGTTTCTCGCCCGACAGTAGGCTCGCGTCGTACCTCGATTTGGGGGCTACGCACGAGGGACTAAATCCCCTCCCCGTGTATAGTGTACCCAACCCATCATTAATTAATTTGTAATCAGATCATCTGCATTTGCCTATCGCCTAGCGCATTTGTTTTATATTCAATTCAATGAAATTCATTTAAAGATACGTGATTTCTGTTTCAACATGCACATGCGAGTGGTCACTCGTCCACTTCGCTGAGTGGAGCAACAGGAGTTTCCCATTCCCATTCGTCCCAGCTGACACAGTTCTTGAGGCTATCGACAAAGCCCATTTCGTCGGGGCACTTCATTTGGGTGGCGGGGGCGTTAAGTTCATCGCATTTCCAGTAGGACGTAGCATCCCAGTTGTTGCGGAACACTGATATTTCGAGTTCCATTTGAGTCTTGCAGCCAGGCTGGCCATTGCCACTGTAGGCATCGACAGCACAACAGACAAACACGAGCAGGCAGCAGACGGTGACCTGAAGCTTCATTTTAAGATAAACTGATGGCCGATGTGGCAACTGAAATGCCTTTTATAGTTGCCTTGGTGTAGTCATATGCATGCCCCCTGAAGTGCAGCCACTACTACAAGAAAATGCTTTCAAAAATTGGCAGAAAAGCAAACAATGAGAACAATGTAGAACTGATAATTTGTATTTCCTCTACAGCAAAGTTAAATATTATTGCAAGTCCGTGATAGTTGCAATGAGTCATGCATTTGAAGTTCTTTTTGATTTGGAAATTTTTAATAATTTAGCAATAGTTATTAATGTCAAGAATTGCTCAAAAAATGGATTATACTTTATTTTTATATTCATTGAAGTAATCTAATAGAAAGTAAATAATTTGTTCGGATTTAAAAATAACGGATTTTAATGGTAAAGTAATTATACATTTAAGATAAGATTGTAGCACTTTCTTTTCAACCACATTTGTAATCTTTTGCAAATTATCTTCAACACCATAAACAATCTTAAGAAACTTAATGAGATCAGAATGTGTACGAGTATTAGTTCGGCTTCGGCCCAGCCACCGTTATTTGTTCAAACTCACTATTAAATTGTGATCCATTCTCGTTTCAGCGGGTCTTGTGCTTAACTTCAACGATATTTCACTATTTTTCGGAAACATTTTGCTTGCTAGCGTCTTGTCAGCCGTTCGAGCAGGATTAAAATATTAAGCTTCAAAGATTATACGGTATACAAATTTCCATACTCTTCGAATTTGTTGAAAGTATGTATCAAATGTGTATAATACAGTGTAGTTTCTATGTGAAATGAAATGTCATTTGCATAAATGCCTAACCTTTTTATACCCGGTACTCGAAGAGTAAATAGGGTATATTGTATTTTTGCGAATAACGGTTGTATGGAACGCACAGAACGAAACGTTTCCAACCCCATAAAGTATATATATTCTTGATCAGCATCAATAGCCGAGTCAATTGAGCCATGTCTGTCTGTCTGTCCGTCTTGTTGAGCGCCTGGATCTCAGAGACTATAAAAGCTAGAGCGACCAAATTTGGCATCCAGACTTATGGATGCTCACACTGTTACAAGTGCATTTTAAAAATGAGCCCCGCCCTTTACACCGCCCCCCCCCCCCCCCCCCCCCCCCCCCCCCCTCTCCATTAAAGGGCGGAAACCTCCCAAATCTACAATTTTGAAAATAAAAGAAAACTAAAAACGCCATTGCGTAGGGAAGGACCATATCTATTGGGATCCGATTGGAACATTATTATAGCCAGAATGAAGAAATTAATTTGCAGTGGCTAAACCCACCCCGTCCTGGACCTTTTATATTCGTTTTTTCACATTCTCTCATTCACACTCTGCTTCGTGTAGTGTGCGGCCTCTGCCGCTAAAGGAGCGTGTTGGCGTGAGAAGTGTTGTAGATGTAGATGACAGATGAAGAACAAATTTTAAATTTGACAAAAAACCGCTAAGGTACATATGTAGTACTGAGTGCCGAGTATAAAAGTTGTGACGCGTAAGAGGCGTCTCACACGTCCCGTTCTCGTTTTTATAAAATTCAATAATCCAATCCTTATAATAAGCAAGATTGTAGAGAATCGATTCATGAATCGCTTACATTTAAATGTTCAGTGCCAAGACCCATAACCAAGTTTTAATACTTATTCGAATATCAAAATTGAGGAATATTATTTTCATCGGTATATATTGACGGTAAATTTGGAAAATGGTATAATTGGGTATATTCTGGTATATTTCTCAGGGTCAGACGGTATATTTTATCGATAACTCCGCAGTCACTCTGTTGGTGCTGTCCACACGTAATTTTAATCGGAAAAACTTTGCAAATCGTTCAGATAAAATTGACAATATCCGGTTAGTGGACATTATTCCGCTGCATGAAGATGGACGAAGGAATGGTATTGAAGCAACCGACAGACAGGCGGTTGGGCAATGCGGGTGATTTGCCCCCAGGTCCACCCGGCGTCGACGAAAAAAGTGGAAATGGAAAAGGCGAGGAGGCAAATGCCGCGTCAGGAAAAAACAGCAAATCAAGCTCACGCCGACGTTCAATTTCGCTACGCCGCTCGACATCTCGCCGACGCTCAGATTCCAGAAATGCTGGATCGCCAGGTGCTACGCGTCGTAGACGCTCAATATCGCGGTCGCCAAGTCCTCGCAGGGGCCGCTACGACTCTCCGGACTATGGCAGATATCCCGCACGGCGGCGTTTTGATCGCGACCGTCGACGCTCACCCGACCGTCGGCGTTCACCACCTCGGCGAGGCAGACGCGATCGCTATGGACGGTCACGCTCACGCAGCATTACTCCTCCCCGTCGCTGCGGTCGTGGAATTAGTCCATCAAGCCGCTGGTCACCCAAGAAAAAGCCAGCCTCTCCCCCACTACCTCCACCGCAGAATCAGGGTGGACCACCGCCTCAAATGGCTCCAGCATATGGCGTTATGCCCCCGCAAATGTATGCTCCAGTCACGTATGGGGCTCCACCCGATGTATATGGCCATCAGTACGGAATGGCGCCGCCAAATGTGTTTCCGCCTCAAGCACCGCCGCCCGGATATGGCATGCCAGTGCAACCAACAACACAGACCAATTTCAATGCTGGCTACGGACCACTGACCACAGGCGCCTGGGTCGTAAATGGTAAATTTTAATATCTTTTAATATGAAAACACGTTTTTCCGTCAAAAATACATACACAATATATATATAGGGGAAAGGAGTATATTTGTCCGAGTCCTGCAAGGTTTGTTTGTGACGATTTTTTCGCTTCTTATTTCTCAGAGTACGGCCAACAGGTGTGGATGCCACAGACGCTGGCTGGCGTTCCGCAGCCTGCACAACAGCCTGCTGTCCCACAGCAGCAGTCAGTGCAGGAAGCACCGACGCAGAAGCAACAAGAGGAGGAGGATAAGAAAGCGCCAGCGCTCGAGGGCGCAGGTTTGCCGCCACAGGACGGTAAGTGTGGAAATGAATTATATTCTGGTAACTACGAAAATTCACATGCAAACCTCTCACATTATGTTTTATTATTGTTGTCATGATTACGCCCCTAACAAAAAATTTTTTTGTAACGTAAACGCGCGCAATTGGCTCGCAACCAAATCAAAAACACACAAAAACACAAACAACAACAACAAAATTGCTGTAAAGATAATCCGAATCTAGCAAATCTAAACGCGAAGCCAGAGCTAACGCTGACGCCTGGGCGAGGGCTTGAAAAATGACTTTCCCTTTCGAATAGAAAACGCATTTTCTGTCGTTTTTGTGTAGTCGAAAAATCGCACTTGAATGGACGCTCCTCGTCGTCACCACAACATGCACTCCAACTTCAACGAGGACAGGCAGATCAAGCCACACGACACGGTCAGACTCGATCCGATCCGATCCGATCCGATGAGATCCGGAGACTGCATCCGCGTGTAACTAGCCGCTGAAATGCACTCGAGAATGCATTTTGTAAATGAAATTTGAACTTTATTTTCTCTGGCGAAAATGCGTACTAATTTGAATCTCTCTTTTCCTCCATCCCCGCCCATATGAACCGCCGAATGGCAGCTGTGGCCCAGGAAGCGGAAAATCAAAAGGACGAACTCAAGAAGCAGCGCACCAACTACGTGAAGAAGGTGACACTGCTCAAAAAGGAAATGCAGGTGCTGATGGATCAGCGTGAAGACCTGGTGGACGGCGACGGTGCACCACCCTCGCCAACCACAAAGGCATTCATTGAGGAAAATGATCGACTGCAGGTTAGTAATATTTCATGAAAGACTCTTACAGAGTGGTTGGTGCTAGAACCACAACACACACTCATTTAATTGGCATTGCAGGTGCAGATAAAGAAAAAACTGGACACTATTGAAAATGTAATCGACATGCTGAATGGCATCATTGGTGACGAGGAACACGACGATGAGCAGCCCGCGAGCATTCGCGCCAAACCGAATGTGAAGGCGCCGCCAGAGCAGGTGGCTAGTAGATCTCACACTTCAAGCGAAAGCACTGGTGAAAGCTCCGACTCTAGCTCTTCGGCTAGCAGCTCATCCGACTCGTCATCTGAGGGTGAGGGTGAGGACGAGGACGCAGACGGCGATGGCGACAACGACGGCGACGTGCCCGGCGAAGGTACTCCCACAAGTCTTCTGAAGCACCGAGCCATGAAAACAATGAAGTCGAAGCAGCGACATGGTGAAGCTACAACGAAATCAGCCTCAGCTTCAGCACAAAACTACAATTTTGTGTTTTTCGATCCCGAACAGCATTGGTGCGACAGCTGTGGAGTGTTCCCGAAAACGGCACGCGACTATCTGAAGCATCTGCATGCCGAAGAGCACATGAATCGCGAGACAATAGAGACCCCCTGGCATGTGGGCATTGACCACGACCCCTATCCCACGTTTGAAAATGCCCCCATCAAGCGTGTGCCCGTACGAGGCATGCAGTTCCTTGTGCCGGCCAACGCCTGGTTCTGCAAGCTCTGCAGCGTTTGGATTGGCGACCTTCACTGTGCCTCAGCGCATCTCAAGTCTAGGCTCCATTCCAATAAGTACGAGGTAAAAATTAACTTTGGATGCTGTGTGGCACGATCTGGAATGAAGTGCATACAATAATGTGCTGTGTTTATCCATTTTACAGCTCTTCATTAATCAAACGCCGAACTATGAAACTGAATGGATTGCCAATCGCGAGCGGGCTGTTCAACACCAGAAGGAGGACGATGCCGCTAAGAGCAAAAAGGTCAAGAAGGATGAGGACAAGGCCTCCAAGAAGCGCAAGAAGAAGAGGTGAGTACTTTTGAGATGAAAAATTTTCGAATATTGAATGTAAGCCAACAATCCTAATCTCATTTCGTGCAGCGGCGAAAAGAAAAAGAAAAAGCGAAAGCAAGGGAAGAAGAGCAAGCGAAATGGCAACAGTACCTCGTCATCCTCAGGAAGCTCTTCATCGGAGGAAGAGAAGACACAGGCAGCAAAGAAAGTGCATGCAGAGGATACAGTGACTGTTCCAGCAGACAAACCAATCAACGCTTCCTCTATACGGGTGACCATGCGCAAGCAGGAGACTCCCTTGACAACTAGGCCGGATGGACCCTTTCAAGCTATAGTGCCGCCACCTCCCCCCATTATCAAGGATTCCATGAATGCGGCTGTCCGTGGCAAATGGACATCTGCCACTGGCGAAGAACATGCTGAGGAGCAAAAGAAGCGGGACGACGCCATGATGCAGCAGTGGAACACTGTCCAGCCAGTAATCAGCGAGAGCGAAAAGAAGTTGCTGGAGCAGCTCAAGGGAAAGCTGAAAAGCAAAGGCCCCCGCGAGCCAGACGAAAATAAAAGAGCTGCTTTGTCCACAGCGCCAGCAGCAGAGAACAAGTCACTGCGCGGAGGCAGCCGACGTTCGCGCAGCCCTAGACGGCGTAGCCGTTCCCATAGCACAAGTCGTGGCCGCATTGATCGGGATCGGCGAGATCGCGACAGGGATCGTGGACGTGACCGCGATCGTGAGCGCGACCGCGATAGGCGTCGGTCACGCAGTCGCTCACGCAGCCGTGGTCGCAGGCGCTTTTCTCGTTCCCCCTTGAGAACCAGCCGACGAAGTCGATCGCGTGACATACGACGTCGTCGCAGCCGCAGCCGTTCCGATGAACGAGTGGAGCGACCAGTGATCAAGCATTCCGAGTTCCGGCCACGGGCGCAGCCTGAGCGTAAACAGAGTGAGAACAAGCGCGACAAGAAAGATCCAGAAGCAAAGCCAAAGCCGCCGAAGAACAGCAGCACTGCCACAGTTGGAGGCAAGAAGCTGCCCTTTATCGGCAAGATGCCAGTATTCAAAAAGCAGCCAGCAGCAGCAGCTTCAAGCTATGAAGCGCTTGCCTACACCAACGGCTCCTTCGAGGCACCTCCACCTCCGCCGCCCATGGGTGGACCAACGGTGCCAGTGGCTGTCCGACACCTTGCACCGACAGCCGCTCAAATACAAATGGCCATGATGGAGGATGCCTTTGGAAATGCTCCGCCCTTTCATCCGGACGCCGGCATTATGGTTGACTACGACGAGCTGATGCCGGATCCTGTCCAGTTTGCCAGCCTGATGACCAACTGCCCCCCTCCACCGCCCCCAGGAGGAGGATCAGATGGGGAAATGCACGAGCTGCACGATGCTGAACAGGAAGCGAACGGCAATGATGAGGAGGACGTTTTGCCGCCCGGCATTGATGAGGCCGAAGAAGATTTAGTGAGGCAGCCATTGGACGCAGCGGAACAGCCCCGGGATGGGGAACTGCCCAAAGATCTCGCCGAGGCGCTCGACATCATTTTCCCAACCGAGGGATCGGCGGGCGATGCTACGGACGAGAACAGCCAGACGCAAAGCGAGCCACAAACCATCACCACTATTGTCGAGGATGAGCCAGCACTAAACGAGGACAATCTTCAGGATTTAGCCAAGCAGGGCATTCACCTAGTGACCATTGGCGAGGCCGATGCCGCTAATGCAGTCGGCTCACCCATGGAAATGTCCACTGAGGATGAAGAGTCTCAGCTGCTTAATGGCAAATCAGAGGCCGATAGCCTGAAACTGTTTGAGGCAGAGGACATACCTATGCCAAGCTTACCCCAAGCCCCAGAATCCGTTGTCGAAGTTGAGACAAAGAGCAGGGTCATCAGTGACCCCGTGGATCTTTCGGACATACCAGAGCCGCCGGCTTCCCCTACAGAGAGTGAGAAGATGAGACGCCAAGCGGAACTGGACGAGCTGGCAATGTTGGGCATCGACAGCAGCGACATGGCGGCACAATGTATGTAGCGCGACGGCACTCTACCCAACCAGCGAATCGCAAACTCACACGTAAAAAAAAAAAACCATCACTGAAACATTGCATTAAATTAAACAATGACAAACAACACACAACACCCATCTAGTTCACCACGCATTCATCCTTTTTCTGTTCGTTTCAATATATTCTACATTTAATCCATCCATCTTATTTATTCTTAGATGCCTTGTAAGGTGTTTGACTTTTTCCGCGAAACGCCAGCGGATGCAGATGCAGCAATGGACGGACGCCCCTGGGATGGCCAAAAAGTAATCAGATCAGATTTTATTTTTAAGTTTGAGCCGAACCTACGTATGAGTATTTATGTGACGAAAGGTTTAAAATAAATGCGCATATATGTATGTAATATATGTATGATGGAAACTAGAGATGTCATAGTAGTTTCCGCGGAATCCTTTTGGAGAGGAGGAGCCGATGCTTAAGATGCTGTGGTTACAATTTACAAGTGTGTATTCCGTTTTATTAAATGGCACTTAACAAATATAAATGGGTTCAGCTAGTACAAAATCTTAGGCACTACTTCCTTACGGCTATAAACTGGAATAAATATCCGCTCCGCGAATAACATTGTGTTCGTTCGCTCATATAGCTATATTGCTATGTAAGTATGTATTTTAGCTTTTGATTTTTGCTTTTTCTTTATAATAGGTACATGGTTTCTCAGTTAGGTCGGATAGCCTAGAGTTAGTAACAATTTGCGTTGGTTATGTTGGATGGACAAACTACATGGCCTTGTGCGGCTTGCCTCGTATGTGAAATGAGTCAACAAAGGCGAGCGAGTGCGATGGTGAGGGCTCGGGTTTTATCTTATGATATGTATGAAGTGTATTTGTATTTAGTTTTGGCATGTTAAAAGTATCCTCGTCATATTTATAGTGTAGGTATGAAGTTGGACTATGCAAAGGTTAATGATTTATACATAATTTTGAAACGAAAGGTGTGCACTTTCTGATTTTGGCCGCCCCGTAGATCTGGGTGCTATAAGTGGCTGACTCGCACTGCCCGCTGGGGCCGGTGAGCCGCTGCCTTGCAGTCGGGGGCTCTTAGCTAAAACTATAAGTCCGTAATCGGTCCGTCGGCCACGCTGAATTTCGGTGCCGCTGTTGCCTGTGCTTTCGTTGTCGGTGACGCTGCCGCTTCCGCAGCAGGTGAGGCTGCCAGTGCGGGTTCACTAGACCTGGTCGGATTCCAATTCGATTGGCTGCCCTTGACCTGGACACTTAGGTCTTTAACCAACTTTTCAAGTCTACAACATTGTTATAGTAGAAGATGGATGGTCAGACCAGGCCACAACAGAGCGTAGAAAGAGAAGAACAGAAATGCAAAAATGGTAAGTGGTTATGATTAGTCACCGTACGTACTACACTCGATTTAAATGATGAATGGGTGTGGGGGTGGTGGTGCCTTTCAGAATATGCATGCATGTGAAATGAAATTGTGCTCGTTTAGTCAAAGAAAATACATAGTAAAATAGAGCATAGACTACACCCACGCTATGATACGTTGATTGGCCTCCTTACGTGCGGCGGCTGCTTCTCCGAGTTCGCGCTTGAGCTGGGTATGCTCCTTTTTGCGCGGCAACAGTGGCGGCGGCAGTGCGGGATCCCGATCCAAATGTTCCGCAATCAATGCAAACGTGGGTGGGCTTTGCGCTGCTTCCTGCTGCTGCTGCTGTGCCAGTGATGAGGACTGCGAGTGCTGGACAGTGGGTGTGGGCAGCCCATTACTGCGGGACTCGCTGCTGGAGCACGACAGGCGCTTGGTGGTAGTCACCGATACCGCCTCGTTGTCTTCCTCGATCTCGTCATCCTCATCAAGGGCTTGTGTAGTTTGTGTCGGTGTCTGGTGCATTATTCCATAATGTAGATTGAACGACTGAGCTCGCCGTGGCCCCACTCCTGCAGCTCCACCGCCACCTCCACCACCGCCGCCGCCCTTAGGAAATGGCTTACGTGAACCACGTGCCCGCTCGTTTTCATAGGTGATGTCGTGATAGGCCTGACGCTGGTTGTAGCAGCTGGCCAGGGCCTGTCGCAGGTACTTGTTTTCTGCCTCAAGATGCGACAGACGTTTATGTGTCTCCTTCCGCTCCAGACGCAGTTGCATCACGTGCGACTGCATAACAGGTTGAAGAAGAGCTGAGCAAAAGTTCATCGAATGGCGATTTGTCACTCACCTTCAGATCATCAATGTCGCGCAGTATACGTACATTTCCCTCGTTCAGAGACCACTGACGCTCCTCGACCATTGATTTGACTCTAAGTAAAACAAAGATCAGATTAGCCCCCACACACGAATATATAATCGCCAACATTGCAGAACATACCGACTGAGGAGGGCGTCCTCGCGCACTCGCGCTGCCTCCTTTACCTCGCGCACCACGTCGGTCATCATACCTGGCGTATAGGCTCCTAGAAGTCAGAAATTAAAGTCAATTAGTCAATACGTGCTTCGTGGATCCGAGCACAGAGGTCGAGGTGGTGCCGTATTGTTTGTACCTATACCTGAATGAAAGGTGGGCGCCGGACTGTGTGTCCCACCGAATCCACCGCCAAACACCAGTGGCTGACTTTGTGTGCTTAATCCGCTCAAGCTATCTCTACGGTGCCGCATGCCCCCAGCGCCAGTGACAGTGCCAGTGCCCGTGGCAGCACCTGCCCAGGCCTGGCCGTTAGGAGCGTGCTTTAAAGCTTCGATATCGACTGTGTATGAGGGTGCAAAAAGAATACATAGAAAGAGGGCAAAAGGTAAAAGAAAGTAGCAAAAAATACAAATGAATCGGGAAATAGCTATACCGATATACAAGTAAGAGTAAGATACAACAGAACAGAACATAAAGTTTGTGAAAAACAAAAGCTCCGATGGAGTCCCTGACCTAACCTGGCTCCCTCTCGAACCTGTTGTGGGAACGAACCTTTGGTTTCATGCAAATTGCGGCATATCTTGGAATTGGTATCGTGCAACAGATTGATTTGCTCCATCAGTGCCGCAAAGAACTTGTTCTGCTGCGCCAGATCGCAGCCGCTATCGTTGGTGTTGGTGTTGCCATTGCGGCAGTCGGGAGTGTTCTGGCCACTCAGCTTGGAGTCGTTGTCCGAGGGATTCAGCAGGCAGGGATCGCTGAATCGGAACCTGCAATTTGGGTCGCATTAGGAGAGACACTTACAGTAGTTTTAGGTACAATTTCCTTACCCTCTGCTAAAGTTTGGATTGCTTCCGTCTAAGACATCCGTGGAGTTCTGCTCATGCTCTGAGGTGGTGCCACCGCCACCCGTCCCTCCCAGCATATTGACCAGCGGCGGTAAACTGGCAAACTCCTGTCCCCCATCGCCGCAATATCCCATGCCCATGCCATAGCCATTGGGGTAGCTTTGGGGCGGAAAGAGCATCGGATATCGATGGCTGAGGGCCTGTGAGTGCTGTGCGAGCGGAGGGAGGGAGAGAAACATTACTGGAAATGGCTCAAGTAATCTACCTTCGCCCTAATGGCTTCAACTCACGCGTTGAATCCCCAGGCTGAAGGGCGTGCCAGTGCCCATGCTATAAGGCTGCGAATGGGAGCGCATGAGGAATTGCTGTTGCTGTTGTTGCTGCTGCTGTGGTAGTTGCTGTTGTTGCTGTTGCTGGACTGACGACTGAGTCACAAAGATTTGCTTATTAGCCTGTGCTGTGGACGGAGTAAAGTCGAGAAATTCAGAGGATGACGACAGCTGCGCATTGGTAGCATCTCGCAGGCAATTCTCCAGCCAGGCATCCAGATGATCCTTGGAATAGTTTGGGCCCGTGACATTGCTTTTGCTGGCACTGCCACTACCACTGCTACGAATCGTGTGCGAGGAAACTGTCGTTGTGGTTGGAGTGGACGCTGCCCCCACGCTGCTCCGGGATTTGAGTTTCTTGCGCTTGGTGACATCCAGCACTGCAAATAGGCGACAAAAAAAAAATAAATCTGTACCGAAGAGTTATAATGATTAAAATAAAAAAGGAAAAGGCCTCACTGTTTCCCTTTTCCGTCCGTGAGGCGCTGCTGCCAGACATTGCAAAAACGCAAATGACTCACAGCAATATCGCCGATGCAGCTGACTATCCAACCCTAGCCCCGTTTCAACTCGAATAAGACTCGACTCGAGTCGACTTGGGTTCGTAAGTTATTTCTGCCTACAGAAATGTCGCGGGAGAGGAGCTTGCGCTCCAATATGAAAACGGGTTTCGCTCGCCATCCGCTCGCTCGCACTGGTTGTTCATTTGATGTCGAATGTAGGATTTGGCCTGGGTCTCTCGGCTAGGTAAATACTTGGCTTTGGCTTCTCTTGGCAAAACGACTACCACCCTGTCACTCAACTCAAGATTTAATTTGTGAACCGGTACGTCGGCACATGAATGTACGTCGATACGACGGACAGATCTATGCATCGATCTTTGAGCGCCTGAAATGGCTGTTCGCAATCAAATGACATAGCCACTAGTCCATTATCGGAGCTCCCTCCGGGCGCATTCCAGCGACATGTGCGAGCCGATCAACGTATCGCACTCCCTCCTCCCTGGGGCTATGCCCTGTCCGTTTATATTTAGCCCACTAGTCTGTGGTTATGTCTGTGACTGTGGGAGTGTCTTGGCTTCGGCTTCGTCTTCGGCTTCGTTCTTCAGAAGAAGGGTGGCCATGGGGATGCTAAAAATAGCCTGGAATTGAATTATGCATCAAGCGGATGTGGACACTTGCGCTTTTCCTAAACGTTGGTTGGTTCTGCTTGCTGATATTGAAGAAATACTTCCTCTGCTCCCAGGCATTGCAGTGCTTTTCGCTTGCGTAACATCCCATAAATAACACCAATTGAGGTCTAATCGTTTAGCCCATTGTTCCATCCAAGTTGAAATCGCATTCACGTCACTTACACAATTTCAATGCCAGGTCAGATCTGATGGCGTGTACGGCAGTTTTATAATAGTAGACCAAACCCCGAAATTAAATCAGTCACTGACCGTGAATACGCACAGACAGGTGGGGCTCGGGGAGTCGTTTGTGACGCATCACCAGGTGATGCTGTTTAAGTTTTAAGCAATTAAGTCACCAGATGATGCGGCACACAGCAAGACTTTTTTGATTATTCTCTTTCTATCCAACTCCACAGAAAGCACTGCTAACAAAGGCCAGCTAGCATTGATTATTTCGATTAAGTCTCACTGGGTCGTTTCTGAGTTTCTGGAACATCAATCCCAACTTAGATTCATACTGAATGTGAAGGTAAGAATTCACTTTCAGGCAAGAACTTTGCGGTTAAATGGGAAATATATGTATGTGCCCAAATTTCTTTGAATTATTTAAAATCTAGAAGCCACTTAAGGTAGGGGAAACACTTTTACTTCGCTCTCAACCCGGTAAAGGTATCTGGTAGACGAAATACTAAACCAAGCTGATCTGCTTTGGACTTTATTGTCTAAAGATTGTCACAAATAATTAAGTATTAAGCACTTAAACGGCTCCACGCGAGCACGCGAATCCAACACGTAAGCCCCGAGACAATTCCACATCGAAGTGAGCTCCATGTGGTACTCCCCCTACGAGATCACTTACAAATGGTTAAGATTGCTGTTTGGCGTGCATGTCGCCTTATAGAGAGAAGGATAGCAGACCCGACTATTAAGAGCAGTGAGTCTTGGCGTCACATCGCGTGCCGAGGTGCCGCAGTCTTGTTTAACAAATTACCAAAGCATTTAACTCTTTTTAGCTCCCGTTCTTGTCCCTTCCTTCGGGGGGGTCAGCCTCACCTCTGTTGCTACTGGGCGAATCAACGCCAACGGCATTTTTCTGGAGACCGCTGCTGCAGATGGGCGCTGGAGTGACGCTGGAGCTGCTTGCCACTATGCCACACCTGCCTCCGCCTCCCCCGTTCGTGTTGATCTCCATCTGGGTTGTGGTTGTCATTGCTGTCGCTGTCGCTGTCAGCGATTGCAGCGCAGCTCCTGCAACGGAAAGAAAACAAGGAATTCACCTTTTATTCAATATCGTTTTACCCTTCCTATGACTCCGCGTTAGACCATGAAAACAGCACTGCTAAAGCCTGCAAAGCAAGCAAAGATGTTTGTAGTTTGCAGTTTGCAGCTTGTGAAGCCAGGGGAACGGACAACAAAGGCACATCAACGTGTGTGCACTGCACAGGGCCGGAAAACACCTGTCCCTTTTCTTTTTGCACTTGCAGCGACGACGAAAGCGTGGAGTGGCGGTTGCTAGTAAAACTTGCATATAGTTTATATATGTAGAGCTTCATATGTACATCCATATGTATTTTTGCTGTTGTTGTTGGCACGGCCCTTATTTCACTTTGTTGACGAAAAGTAAACAAAACATATATATATATATTTTTTTTTTGGCTGGACGTTGATATGCAATGACCATCCAATGCACCATCAAGTGGCCCATGCGACACCAAGCCAAAGCCTGTTACGCGCAGAACCCAGCAGAACGCAGCCCTCCTCCCGCCCAATCGACCGAGGGGCGCTACCGCATGACGCGCGGCGCGATTAACCGAACCGGTCGCGAGCATGCAGGAAATATAGATGTTAGGCTAATATTCGAGGAAAATTAGAGCTAAACACAACTAGACTAGAGCTACTATAGCTAAGCAAGCAAAAATTACCAAAATCAGAAACAGGACAAAACTAAAATGAAACTAACTACGGGAGAGGTAGGCTAGTATAAGAGATTTAAGAAGAGGAAGGGATATGACACAGAAGAGCACCCACCCCCCAGGGAGTACTCAGACAAACAGACATATGTACATACATACATACACACATATGAAACATAATGTATGCAACCCTAATCAGTCGGTAGCCAGGTGCCGCGGGATATACACATGCATATGTATGTTAATTCATGGATAAGGATCGTTGGATGGGATCCGTTCTTTGCGGTTTCCTTTAGCATTCTGTTCATTGACGAGGATATTCTGTCGCATTAAATTGCATTGGGAAAGTTACATACAAGCATTTTCATGACCCCCAGAGAATCGTGAAAAAGTTGAATGCATTTATGACAGCAAAATTGCCAGGCCGTTAAACGAGGAACATGAAAATGTTTCCATTCTATAAACATTTTGCTCCACGCCCATCCATCCCGAATGGAAAATTAACAGAGCGCTGCGGGTTTGGCGCTTGCGGCAATTATGCAGCTACAACGTGCTAGTGCTAGTAGATTCAATTCCATCCATGCACCCACGCTACATAATCATGCATGTGTAGATATGTACATATGTATGTACATCCGATCCGTACTCCGTTTAGTCTGATTACAATGGTTAAAACCAGTTTGGGCCAAAAATTATCTGAAGCAATAACAGTGCATTTTCCTTTGCATTTTGCATTTTCCGAGCTCGTTAGATCCATACATGCAGATAGAAAGACAGTGCATGCTTGTGTGTAGATACTGTATATACATACATAGACACAGTGAGAAGTTTGAGGGGTCCAATGCCACGAGAAGGGACGTGTGAGACGCTTCTTACACGTCACATCTTTTATACCCGATACTCAGTAGTACATATGTACCTTAGCGGATTTTTCAAATTTTACATTTTACACTTCTCTACATCTCTCATCTACATCTACATCACTTCTCACGCCAACCCGCTCTTTTAGAACGTCCCCCTCCCCTAGAGCCGCAAAAAAACAAATAAAAGCTGCGGGACTGGGTGGGCTTGTCCACTGCATATTAATTTTTCATTCTGGCTATAATAATGATCCAATCTGATCCCAATTCGGTGATCTGATAGGTATTTCATTCCCTACAGAATGGCGTTTTCTTAGTTTTCTTTTATCGTCAAAGTTGTGGCTGTGGAAGATTTTCGCCTTTTGTGGGGGCGAATGAAAAACTTGGTTGCCCTATCTCTTATGGTCTCTGAGTACTCGGCGATCATAAGGATGAACAGACACACTGGGTCTATCGACTCGGCTATTGATGCTGATCAAGAATTTATATACTTTACGGGGTCGGAAACGTTTCCGTCTGTACTTTAAATACATCCACTTTCCCCACATGCACAATATACCCTATTTACTCTTAGAGTAGGGTATAACAAGAGAAAAAGCCTAGGCGGGAAGCAACAACGTATCAATTCTCTTTACTTTGCGACTTTTCTTTTAATTAAAAGTAAACCATTTTTCGTCGGTTCAGTTGTTAATCAACTAATATATAGTGGTAGAATTAATGCTGACTATATGCACTTGATTTGGAGTCAAATACGTATCTAAATATTCACATATGTACATATGTATGTACATTTATAAAATATCGTCTGTGGATAAGTGAACAAGCGTTACAAACCTCTGGTAAAAAAGAGAATGCTTGCTGTAAGAAAAAGGAGGTGTATGATAACTAGCAAATGAGATACAAAATCACTAGGAAAAGAGAGGAAGAGTCATTATGTACACTAAGTATCTAAAAGATTCACAGCCCTCTCCTACACATACACACACATGTTTACGTTCATTAACACGAATGTATCCACACAAACACAAACTCCAAGGGGGCGCAAAAGTTAAAGAAGCAGCCTATTGTAGTTGTTGTTGCCGTTGTTGATGTTAATATTCTCCATTCTCCATTGAGACGAAAGTGAATTAAGTTTTGGCTTTTCTTGGGTCTCGGGATTACGAAACGAAGGGAAAGGCGAAACAACATCCAGAGGAAAAGCAGGGCAGAAGTAACAACAATAGCAGCGACAGCGATAGAGAAACTGGCGCTTAATTTAATTTCCGATAGCGCAAAAATGTTTGATATCATTTAAGTGATAAGCACGAAACGTTGTTATTGTGAAATAAAGAGTAATTGGAAGATCCGTATTATGCCGTGGGAATATCTGTAATGGTGGTTATTGCCGTCTAAACAGATATTTAAAAAAATAGCAATACAATAGATATTCGACTATGAACCTATAATTTTCTATCTTATAAGTGCTTTCGCAGTCCAACAGAATGCCCAACAATGGCATCATGCATTAAGAGTCTTAGGCGTAGAGCTTCATTCCTTTGGCTTTGGCTGTCTCTGAATATGCGCGGCAAGGTGAGCTCCGTCAAAAAATAAAAGACGCCGAGACAATCGTGTATTTTTTGGCTCAAGTTCTTGGCCATTGACACGATGCCAAGAAAAAACGCATGCCGCACCGAAGCAGAAAGAGATGAATATCTATGGCTTGTGGGAAAAAAAAGGGAAAATCGTACAATCGCCCCAGAGACAGCGAGAATGAGAGGTATGTATATGGGAGAGGGAGGGAAATTTGTCAGTGGTATCTAGAAAACGGATTTCACGTTCACCAAAAAAAAAAAGCATTACGAACAGGTTTTTGGACCAATAGTCAGGCATTTCTCCCCCAATAGATGGGATCGTGTGTAGTATTATATTCCACACATTTTAATGACAATGATAAAAACAAGGCAAAATGAACTGCCCTTGAAGCGAAGTCAGTGGCGGTCATGGCCATGGCCATGGAGATGGCGAAATTACCACCAAATTACCGGACGCCATCAATGAGTGACTTCACACACACAAACACAGTCATAGAGCGGGAGCAAGTCGCTTGGTTTGTTGACCCGCGCAGAACTGAGCATTCGAAGATCGAATAAATACTAATGAATGAAAGGAGACGACGCGATGACAAAGCCATATGCGTTCGGCAAGGTGTAGAGATGGGGCAAACGCGTTGCAGTTGGAAGTGTCATGGCAGCTGCTGCTATAAAGAAACCAAACAGTAGGCAGTAGACTGCAGACATCAGACTGATGGCTATCCGAAAGTAGTCGCAGAGACCAGCACTAAAGCGGGCACATTTTGGCTGCTTTTGTATCGGGGACTCCGACTACGACTGCGAATGGGAATGTGCCTGTGCCTGGGAATGAAAACTATCGAGTTTCCCATCCACCACCGCTCCTCCTTTTCCATAGCATACCACGAAATGAAAATGAAAAGCTATGTTATATGTGTGAGATGACGTCGTCGACATTGGCATTGGCATCGACTCGGGGTGACTGCTACTATAGCCGCTGACTAGTGTTGTTTCTGTTGTTGCGCCTGGATAACTTTGAGTTCCAAATGGTATTCTTGAAGCGGAGCGACCCTGCCCAAAACAATTCGCAAGGTTTCTATGGATAATTATCAGTTACCTTCTCGTTGCAAATGCGTTGGAATCGAAGCAGCAGTTGGCGGCACCAGCAGGAGCAGCTGCACGGGAAGATGCCCGCTCAAAGTAGCCTAGTCCGAAAGACTGATCAAGTAAATGCTAATTAGCTGCTTAAAAAAGCTGGTGCCTGCTCAATGGCATTTCAATTTTTGCACACAAATACACACGCACACATACACAATGGCATTGGAAATTTGAAACTCTTTTGCGTCACACACGATTTTGTACTGTAATTTCGGCAAAGCCCGAACTAAATGATTTGGAAATTGTGAAGATCAGACGAAAACGAAAAGCTAAAGGCAGCAACATCGGTTGTCGATAAAAACAGATAATTAAGAGCAATTCGCAAAAAAATAACGGAGCCCAGAGTTAAAGTAATGTGTTGTTGTTTTCGCAGCGACCGTGTGACCGCCGACTTATCGATAAAATAAACCGTGAGGGCCTCGAAAATATACCAAAATATACTTTTTCATTTTCAAAATATACCGTAAAATATACCGTGAATCTAAAATCATTTTCCTCGATTTTGATGTTCAATTTAGTATTACCAGCTGGTTAGGACTCTCAGCTTTAAAAATGTAATTTTACTCAAATCAATTATGATACATCTTTCTGAATTGATTGCATAATAAAGTTAAAACTAAAAAGGACAACCATAAATATATATTTGCCATAGTTAATATTATAAATCCATTTAATAAACTGCTTTTAATAATCAAACTTTTCATATGTTTTGTATGTACTATATAACGATCTGGATACATTCTCGGTCTCTATAATCTGCAAATTTTTAAAGTAAGTCATTGAGATTGTGACTTTCGAAGGATTCCAGTCCTCCATCATCAGCGATCTTTCCGTTCCTACCGAATTTCTGTCTCTAAAACTATTATTTGATTGCAACGATCTTGATCTCGGATCGTAAGCAATTGCACTTGAAAAGAATCCAATTCGCTTAGATTATTGCAATCAAAATTCTGAAATTTAATTTCAAAGTCTCTATTAATATTATGCAATGGATCTGTTTGAATATTAATAATGGGTCCCATAGCAGTTGATCATTATACAATATCAATGAGTCCCCATCGCAATATCTCCAATATTTTCAATTGGATCTACTGCATCTACTGTAATTTCGCCAATTTTATGTTTAGGAAATGCTACACATTTGCTGAACGAAAGTTCATGAAATGAAAAGGAAAATACAAATTAGTAAATTAAATTTGGAGAATATTTTTAGATCAAAGACCCTAAGGTACAGGGTATACAGGGTATATTGTATTTGTGGGGATTAACGGTTGTATGTAACGCACAGAAGGAAACGTTTCCGACCCCATAAAGTATATATATTCTCGATCAGCATCAAAAGCCGAGTCGATTGAGCCATGTCTGTCTGTCCGTCCGTCCGTCCGTCCTTATGAGCGCCTGGGTCCAGAGACTATGAAAGTTAGAGCCACTAATTTTTGCATCCAGACTTCTGTATGCTCACACTGTTACAAGTGTATTTAAAAAATGAGCCCCGCTCCCCTTCCGCCCACGCAAAAGGGCGAAAACCTCCCAAACCTACAATTTTGAAGATAAAAGAAAGCTAAAAACGCCATTCCGTAGGGAATGACCATATCTATCAGATCACCAAATTGAGATCCAATTGGACCATTATTATAGCCAGAATAATTTTCAGTGGCTAAACCCACCCCGTCCCGCAGCTTTTATTTGTTTTTTGCACATTCTCTCATTCACACTCTGCTTCTGCATTGTGCGGTTCTAGGAGCTAAAGGAGCGTGTTGGCGTTAGAAGTTACGTAGATGTAGATGTTGATGAAAAATGTAAAATATAAAATTTATAATTTGAAAAAAACCGTTAAGGTACAGATGATCTACTGAGTACCGGGTATAAAAGTTGTGACGAGTAAGAAGCGTCTCACACGTCCCTTCTCGTTATATATATGTACATATGTACTCCATGTTTTGTGCGTCAATTTGTCCGTAGGAGGCTTCCAGAAATTTCACCAGACATGAGGACGGTGCAATGGTGCTGGCACGAGATAATGGCCTGGCCAAGGCTCGACCGAGGGTCATAAGTTCATCGAGGTGCCTTCCTGATTGTGCTATCGAGACAACAGGTTGGAAGGCAGGTCATTTCCACATTCAATCTGTCACTTTGAAACTTTTAGCCTTTAACTGTCTTTTGCAGGTCCGCAGGCCAATCTGTTGAAGAGAAACATATCTCTTACAAACTTCGCATAATCCTCATCCACCGTCTCAAGGCCCAGGTTCCGATGGATGGTATCGTTAGGAACCATGGGGCCATTACCACTGAGCTTTGATGAGTGGTTGGCTTTAAATCGCAACAGCGGCGAGGAGGCGTTGCCGGATTATCCACACTCCAGAAGTCACTGCCGGTGAAACGAAAGCGATTGCCCCATAATCTCGGGTCAACCACAAGCCGTGGTGGGTGGTGGCGTAACGTCCTGGTCAAGGCCGTCCCGTACTTTCTAGTCACCAGTTAACGAAAGTTTTGTTTAAAAATAAGAATAATTTATTGAATTAAATTGTATTATAATTGACAATTATAACATTTACGGATGTTTATAGTACGCGATGCTGCCTGAGTTCTATAATCGACTTTAACTTAAATAAGAAACGTGCCCCATGCCGCGTACGCCCACGAAGAGCGTGGATATTTATTGTCAACACGGGAAATCACACACAAACACTTAGGAAGCAACGGTATTTTCTGGAAACTCTTAATCACTTTCACTTTGAAGGTTCCCACTTTATGCTCCTTCCAGGTGGATATCGCCCTTGTTTCCGGCACTCGACTCCATCCAAGCAAATTATACTCGTCGCTGGCCAACTTTAAGCCAGAAAATGTCGCACCCAACGGTGGTAGCCACCATTAATAAGAAGGACCTGGAGTCTGCCGACGATAGCGAAGAGGATGAGCTGTGCCATCCCACATTAAATGGTAGCGACACCAACGAGCTCCATGTCAGCATCTGTGCGGTCGTAACAGCAGCAGTAATTTCCTATAAGGAGATCAGGACGATTATTTGGCATCATAGAATCGTTGTCATTTACTTACTTGTTATGCACATTGCCAGTTTGGGGCTGTGGCAATGCCTTGGTCCTGCATTCTGGACGTGAATGAACAAGGAATTTCATCTTTCACCATGATTAAAGCCTCCATTCGATACCAATCTGCAAGAGGAAAAATTGCTTACTTAAAAAATGCGGAGAAATTATCCACCAGCTGTCGCAAGCGAACCGTCAGTCTCAGGGTCTCCTTTATGGTCCTTTATTATCACACCGATTTCTTTAATGAATTAATTTGTATTTCTTAATTGTAGCAGGGGGGCAGCAGTTATCCGAAAATCCATTGATCTCTATTTTGAATTGGGGGTATGGCTGAAACTGTTTAAACTTAACACACTGAAAGCCCGCGTTTTAAATAGGTAAACATTTTGTCCAAATTGGGGGAATAAAACTTCTTGTAAATGTTTATTATAGCCCAGTTTACGAATAAATTCGAAGGGCAACGTTTCATTCAGCTAAACTGCGCTAATAATCTTTAAGTTTCATTAACTTCTTATTTTGCACTTAAACACCCATTGGTCAGGGTCAGAAGGTTAGTCGGTCTCGGTCAATGACATATTTACTCGATTTTAATATTCTGTTTAATACTGCCATCCAACTTAGACTCTCAGCCGTGGAACTACAATCTTCTACGATTGTACAATACATTCGCCACAATATTGGCTTACTCTTCATTACTCTTTTACTGGATGGATGAATAACGATAAAGCTGAAAAAGATAAAAAAAAATGAACTAAATCAACGCTACCAGTAGTATGTTTCTTTGCGTACCCGGTTTTCATTTTTTAATATAAACATTTCGTTTTCAAAGCTGCTCTAAAACATAATAATGCCTCAATGTTTCTATATTATGCAAAACTTGTTAAGATATCTCTCCATTGCAGATTTGTTTGTTTTTTCATTGATTCGAGCCAAGGATTTCCAGCATTTCTTCAATTCGAGGACATCCTTACCTCCAAGGGTACTAAATGTTGCTTATTCCAAGAAAAATGTTGGGGAACAATGCTGCTTAGTATTCGCAGCATGTTGCTGGTCCACAAAAACTATGTTGCCAACGGTAAAATACGTAAGTGTTGATGGAATTCAACGCACGTTAGTGTGGATGGAATAAACCCTCATTGCTGCGATGAAAATTCACATGTTGCGAGAGAGAAATATCCCTTCCAAAGAGAGAGAGATTTCCTACGGAGAAGAGAGAACGTCCTCGAGGGATATTTGAAAAACATACGTATGGGAGTTTGGATACCCTATATTAATGAATATACCTTAAAAATTGAATTTATTAGGACGATGAAACTCACTAAATATTCCATTACATACCGTACATATTATATTTTTTTTTTTATTTAATCGCTACCAATCAAAAACTTTGCGACGCATTGCCAATGCTCCGTTTTACGTATCTAATGCAAATATCCACAAAGATCTGAATTTTCCAACAATTAAAGAAGAAAAAAAGAAAACATCGACAGACTCCACAACCACGAAAATAATTTAGCCTTAAGTCTATTAGACAATAGATTAACAGTAAGAAGACTGAAAAGATACCACATTCTCGATATCCCTGATAGATAAATCCAACAAACTGAAAAGATGTTATATAAAATAGCAGGGCTCATTGGAAAACTGATATTTCTGTTAATTGAATATTAATTATACAATTTACTTATTGTTTAAACAAACAGATTGTGAATATAAAGAGAGAGAAACAAAAAAAAACTAATTTTATCGCTACAGCAAAATAAGTTGTTATGTTATGTTGAATATTAGAAAAATAATGTTACTGAAAATTTTGAACTCAAAAAAACAGTTACTCAAATATTGAGATACTTCAGCGTTACCAATCAAAAACTTTGCGACACATTGTCAATGCTCCGTTTTACGTATCTAATGCAAATATCCACAAAGATCTTAATATTCCAACCATTAAAGCAGAAATAAAGAAAAATAGTAAGAAATACATCGACAGACTTCACAACCATGAAAATAATTTAGCCTTAAGTCTATTAGATAGCTTAACAGTAAGAAGACTGAAAAGATACCACATTCTCGATCTCCCCGATAGATAAATCCAACAAACTGAAGAGATGTTATATATAATAGCAGGGCTCATTGGAAAACTGATATTTCTGTTAATTTAATACTAATTATACAATTTACTTATTGTTTAAACAAACAGATTGTAAATATAAAGAGAGAGAGAGAGAGAAAAAAAACAGTTGTTTGCCGAACGAACACTAGAAAAAAATTTACCGTCGACTCAATTTCGACGTCAAAATATACCGAAAAGTATAAAATATACAATAAACGGTGACCCTGCGAACCACCAAAAATCAATACGGATGAGTGAACGAACCTGGCCCATTTAAGCCCCTTTATTTAAAAAGGCGAACAACTCTAATTAACTTTACTCTACTCTGAAAAAAATACTGATTTTAAATTTTTCTTATAGACCATCTTACTTATACAATGTCTGTAATATCACCTGAGCTTCTCTAAAATGGGTATATTCTCTATATCCATTTTCTCTGTTGTATATCATGTTCCTCGCTATGATATTCGACTATTTAATATTGCTAGCGCGCTAGGACTCTCAGCAATTAACGAATAATTTCATGTTTTTAAACCTGTCAAATCGACAGGAGCGCTCATTTTACCGATTACTCAAATATTTAAACAATCATAATCTATCATTAATTCATATTATACTAATCATGTTTATTGCTATTAATATTTCCAACACATACTTTACACTATAATAAAAGATGCTATCGAATCTCAAGAAAACTTGGATATCATCCAAATCCTGAGCAACAGGTTTAACAGATTCGAAAAGCTCTTTTGGAAAGTTAACAGAGCTGTCGAAAAAGAGGACAAGTTACATATGTACATACATAAGTATATCGATGGTACGTTTTAAATAATCGAAGACGTGCATTTTTTAAATCGCCATCTTAACTAAGTATTCATCAATAAACAATATAATATGAAATAGATTTGTTCATTTATGCTACCAGCCGATATTCCGGGATGTAGCATAATATGCGCAACAAATTGACCAACAGGAAACAGGAAATCAGATTGCAGTTTATACTAATATATATAAATATAAAGAATATAAAATTCGTAGCAAGAAAGTAAAAACTGTGATTGAACGTCGCTCACACTGTCTGCTATACAACTGTTAGTTACAACGTGTATCGATATTTTCTTCAAGCTGGTGAGAAATTCCGATTTCATGTCTTGGCTTGCCGTTTTTGTATCTGTCATGGGGTTTTTCCTGCCGTGCATACCATGGCAGCTCATGATTATATGCACTTCCCGAGCCCGTTTAATTTTGTATTTATAACGCGCCCAGTGTCGTTTCCACACACCTCAAAAAAGTACTGAACCAAAAAACCAAAACCAGCAAGTGAAAGGAATTTGTGCAGCTATATGCATGTATTGTGAAAGTGAATTTATTTTAGTAATTTCCAAAATTGTGTGTGAAACACCACTTCAATGAGACTAAATGGTCAGCTCATAATGTTGTAATTAGAACTCATGATGGAAAACTACGGCTACAAGACATCAACGCTGCAGCAAAACATACTATTCATTGTCCTGTGAAAAATCGATTTTAGTTATCCTGTGCTGTCATATCTCGAGCTTTCGCTTTCGCTTTCAGTTTCACATTGTAGTGCAAACAATCCTCAGCAGGCACCAGGACACTTTTGAAGAGGTTCATGTAGCGTTGAGGAGCGTTGGAATAGCTACCATCTTGCGTATGAATAAAGATGATTGTTACGTCTGCTTCTGGCGTGGATAACACTCCGACGTTGGGTACGTTGCTAATTCCCTTTTCACTACACTACGTCTTATTCAGGCGGTTGTGATAGCAATGAAGCCTGGCCATGCCATTCTACGATTCTACCCGATTATAGTGTTTCTGAATGGTGTGTTTCACATGCATATCTATTTTCAGGTACGGTTGAGGTTACCACTCTCCTGGGTGTTTTTTTTGGTGTTCTTGTCCTCCTGCTGCTCCTGTTCTTGTACATAAGCCGCAAGTGCTGCTTTCACCATCGCCATGGCATCAGCTGCTGCGACGAGCGTCACCTGGCAGCAAAATGTGTGCAGAAGATTAGTGAGTATTCGATTTTGGATTTTGGACATTGGCTTGAAAATATCCGTTCGTTGCAGCACGCAAGCGGCGCTACGAGAACACAAGCTCAGACTCGGAGGAGGACATCCTGCGCCGCCTGCGATGGCATCAGCAAAACCAGCACAGCGACAAGCCCATGGGCTATGGGATGAGCATCAGCCAAGCCAACCCCCTGACAGCGCACAGCTTCAATTATCATCAATCCGACGCTGACCTGCAGAGGGTGACCGTTACGCGTGACCCTTTGGCAATTGCCGAAAGGGGCAAGGTCGGCATTCCATCGTCGCACAGCGAGTGCAGCTCGAATGACTCTATAGAGGCATCTGTTGACAGTCATACCGGCATCTTGACGGGCGAGACGGCCAAGGGTAAACTGTATTTTTTAAGCATCAGAGTATACTTCTGACATGACAACTGACAAGCAACGTAATTTATCTAGACTCAGCTCATCCAGTCAACGCCTTTAGGAATCCATACACGGAAAACCGTGTCAAGACACACTCCCAGAGGTACCATCACAGGGTTGAGGTTTTGTCGCCGAAACTGGAGAAGGATAATGCTGTGGTGGTGATGCCTCTGGTGAATAGTTTGGTAAACAACAACAACGCTACCACCTTCAACAATAACAGCCACAACATCAACCACAACAACAGCAACAGCAACAACAACAACGATGACGTAAGAGTGTCTTCACTCACAGTTGCGTGAATAATTTTGGCATTCGGCATTCGAATACTCTCATTCTTGCAGGAACCTTTGTTCGACACCAGCGATCTGCGTTCTGTCAAGTCAGATGACATGGTCGACCCGAAGGCACCAGCCTCGCGAGGACCGATCGAGCTGGAGATGTCGCTGCTGTATGACGCCCCGATGAGGAAAATGACGGTACACGTGATGCAGGCGCGAAGCTTGCCGCCGCTGGGCAACGGCCAGCAGACGCACACGCAGGTGCGCATGCTGATGCTGCCCAATAAAAAGCAGAAGCACAAAACAAAAATCCGCAGTGGGGAGAATCCGCAGTACATGGAGAGCTTCCTGCTGCACCGTGTCAATCCGGAGGACGTTAACAACATGGGCCTGAGAGTACGCCTCTATGGCTGCGAACGACTGAGAAAGGAGCGCTTGATTGGGGAGGCGTATGTAAGCTTTGCAACGGTCGACCTGGAGCTCGAGACCAACCTTTGGCTACCGCTGGAGCCGCGCAACACCTCATCGGTGCTGGGATCGACGAGCGATCTACTGAGCCTGGCGCGGTCAGAGAGCGCGGGCTCCACCTCATCCATGCAACATGGCGGCGTCTCGGAGCTGCTGATGGGCCTCAGCTACAACGGTGTGACTGGCCGGCTGAGTGTGGAGATCATCAAGGGCAGCCAGTTCCGCAGCCTGTCGCTAAATAAGGCGCCCGACACGTACGTGAAGATGGTCATGGTTAGCAGCATAGGTCAGGAGATTTCGCGGGCCAAGACCTCCATTCGCAGGGGCCAGCCCAATCCGCTTTTCAAGGAGACATTCGCGTTCCAGGTGGCCCTGTTCCAGCTCAACGATGTCACGCTGATGATCTCGGTGTATGCCAAACGGCACATGAAGAAGAACGAAATGGTCGGATGGTTTAGCCTGGGTCTAAACTCATCCGGACCAGAGGAGGTAGCCCATTGGGCAGATGTGTGCGAAATGCCGAAGGGCGAGATGCTGGCCCGCTGGCACGTGCTGGTCGATTCCTGATTCGAGCAGTTGGGCCAGTCCTCGGGACGCAGCAGCAAGGCGCTCAAGAAACTGGGCTTCGCTGCGTTCAAGGACAGGTCCAAGGATAAACATGCAAAGGAGTCGAGTCGGGATGAGGATAGCGATCAATTCCCTGCAGACAATGCGGTTGCAGTCGACATTGAGCCGGGCCTGGAGCTCGATTTTGTCTAGAACCAAATTCCCGACCTGCTCCACGGTCAGCATACATTTTGTGTCTTGTTTTTACGGGGTGCGGTAATCGATCGAATCGAATCGAACCGGAGCGAAGATTGATTGCCTGGTGCCTGTGGCAGCGTGTTTAACTTAATCATGGGTGAAACCAATTGAGAAATCAATTTTTGATATCTGAACAGAAATGTTTGGATCTAACCCTACATAGGGCAAAACAAATATTTGTAATTTGGAAACAATTTGGAACACATTTTTTGATCAAATGTGAAATATGAAGAAAACAAAAACAAAAATGAAACCTAGAATATTGAATTTTTGTACGCAATGGTACGTAAGGTACATGAAAGAACTTAAATTATTACTCAAATTTGAACTTTATAATTGTTTGTGATAATGAATACTATATGAATAGCATAGCCCAAGGGCCCAAGGTATGCATACGACACACAAGAGCACAACTCTTAGATGTTGGAATGGAGAATTTTTGTAATTACACCTTTCTGCATATTAACTTAAAAAATATTGATTTCCGCAGGGAAACCGAACCCCAATGTCTTATACGACTAGCACTTTTGTATTACCAAACAACAAAAAAGTAAAGTATTAAAGAAGAAAACACTCGTTAATAGGAGGAATAATATTCAATACATGCGAGACATTCATACCATTCCATACCATACCCAAAAAGATGAATGCATAAGTATACAAACAAACCTACTTCTTGAAATTTTTCTCGAGAACCAAGGTCATGTTCCAGTTTTGATATGATGATTAAAATATAGATAAAGATGAGGGTATATATCGGTACCTTAGAATTCAAACGCACAAAGATCTATTGTACAACCGAAGGAAAGTTGGCAGACGAACAGAGTTGATAATGATAGATATACTAAATCCATATAGATACATATTAATGCTAAATGCAGGCTGGAGGCCATGGCTACATGTTATTAACGTTCCATATGCATATATGTATGTATTGTTGTATATCAAATACCGTTGATCAGATCACACCTGGATTCGAAGTTCGTTACGGCAAGGTTGCATTTGCATTGTCGTTGCAACTCCCCGGAATAGGAATGGGGACGGGACGGGAAGTAAGTTTAACTTATACACAGAGGAAAAGGAAAGCTTTAATAAATATCGGATAATTATTATTTTTTAATTGTACATTCAATCAAGAATCAAGTTTAATCAAAGAAAACAAAGAAGACAACTATTTAACTATTGCAATGCTCATGCAAGCAAACTTAATATTCATTTTGATGTACAATCTTATTGTATACATAGTATTTGTATTTAAAAAATCTCTATGTTTTGAATGTCAAATATTTTATAGTCACGATTCACGTGAATGTGTGTGTTGTCGTTGCAAGTTGCAACAATTGCGATATTTGTATGTATGTATGTTGTGTGTCTAACTAAATCCTCTACTTCATTTTGGAAAGCGCGTGGGGCTAATCGCAAGCGCTCTAGTCAGTTCTACACAAAATCCAAGACACAACACAGCGCAACATACAACACACAAGAAAAAAAGGGGAAGAAAGTCGCCCTAAGCTGCTGCTGACTTAATGTCAAGTATTTCAGACTCTGAGTAGAATCTCCCTCCACAAATTGAAAGCGAATGAAGTGATTGATTTTTTCTGCAACAGATAACATATTTCTACTCTTCAATTTAAACAATTAAATTGTCATTGTTGATTCCCAAATATTAATTTTAATATTACATAATTGCCACTTAAAATAAAATGATATTATGTAAAACAAAAACCTTATTGTCTTACCGATCCGTAGCCTATCTGTGTGTACATATGTGTGTATGTACATACATGCTATATACGTACATCTATTTTCTGCGCTTTCGTCTCGTCTTCTTGTAGCTTCCTGGATAACTGTCCTCATCGTCACTGTCTGTGGCAGGCTCTTGACTTTCCTTGCTGCTTGTGCTTGCCGCCGTCTGGCCCCCCTGCTGTGCATCCCACTCCTTACGCAGCTCACTAAGCATTCCCGGCGTCAGCAGACCTTGGGCGAGCAGTCTGTCTGTGAGACGTCCACGCGATGCGCTGGGCAAGCGTGGCTCTTTAACATGCGTCACCCGACGCATGCCGTAGTTTGGCGTCTCTCCTTCCTGGCTGGCCTCGGTGTTTTTGAGAAGTCGAGTTATCTGGAATACTCCCTGCTGTATAATCTCATCCAGCTCCTTTTGGGCTTCCCGTACGTTCCCTGCCTCCGGAAAAAGATCCATGAACCGATAACTGCAAGATCGATTATAGTTTTTGATTATTGTTTTGGCAACAGTGTGAAAGTAAAGTGTGCAACTTGCCTCAACCATAGATACAGATCCATGACGTCGAAAACGGACTCCAGGTGCACCAGGTCCAATATTGTCTTGGGCAACTTGAACGGCCAGCCGCAGCTATGTTTGATGAACTCAAATGTGATCGGTTCGTTCCGGCTGTATTGCCGTGCTATTTTCAGGAACATGGAGCATACGAAGGGCATCTTGCGGTTGATGGGTGCACAGCAGAAGACATAACGGGCGCGAAGGGGCAGCGGAACATGTTGAATCATCTCAGCGAGGAACTTGAAGTCTTCAATGTTGCACATAAAGTATAGGGAATCATCGACCGTGCACAGGTTCACAAATATGTCCATTAAGTTGCTCAGCGACGAGTTGGGGAGGTGGTAAGCATAGAGCTCAATCTGATCGGCAGTAGGATGCAGGCCTGCTTGCTTCAAAGGCTCGGGTGTCTGTGCTAGAATGCGCTGCAGCGTCTGCAAATCCTCGGACTTGAAAGCTGTCACATATCCATGCTCCCATTGCGTGCGAAAGCGGCCGGCTCGTCCCGCTATCTGGAGAGCCGACGACACCGATATAGTGTCGATCTCGCGCTCTCCCCGCTCGTTCATTGTAGGCTTTACCAACGAGTAGAAAATGATTCGTCGAATGCTCCTGCAAATTTAATTTAATTTAAAAAATGTCGAAGGATTCCCAGCAATAGCGAACATACAGATTCAAGCCCATGCCAATGGCATCCGTGGCAACCATTACCTTGCAGCTATTGGCGGGATCATTAAATTTGGCAGCTTGGGCTAGTTTGGTGCCTGGTGGCAGACCGCCATAGATTACAGCAACCTCCTTTCCTCTAGGATGAATTTGGTAGATGAGTAGCATAAATAAACAGGACAGGACAGGACGAATACTCACCGTGCCTCGATTTCACGTGAAACCGTGTAAATATCATGCTTGCTAAAGCAAACGATACAGTCGCCGGGCATTACGTTATCCAATGAGCCTAAGGCAGAGGCTTCGACTGTCAGCTCCGTGAGGCGATCATAGCGGCGCACTTCTACTGTTTCGCCGGTGGTTTCGCATATCTTCTGGAGCAGCTCCAGGGCACCAGCCTCGCCGCAGACATGCACCTCGTCCGCAATCAGACCGAGGAAGGCTCGCGTCCAGGCCCATCCGCGCTGTGGGTCGCGGATCTGCTGTATTTCATCAATCACAGCCACCTCATCTATCGTTGATTTGACAAGGCTGGGGTAAACTGACTAAATGCCAAAAATTGTGAAGTTTTACGCTTACATGGTGTGTTAACCGAGGTCATTTCAACGGTGCACGCAACATGGTTGGCCGGCGAATTCTCGCTGATGCCGAACTTGCGCTCCTCACCAGTGACCAGATCGCACGAAGTGCCGCGCTCGTTCGCCTTGTTGTATACCTCCGTGGCAAGCAGTTTCAGAGGACCGCAGTAGACGCCAGTCTTGGCACTTAGATACCTTTCCATAGCGTGGTACGTCTTTCCCGAATTGGTTGGTCCCGAATGAAACACGATCTTCCGGGTCAAGGCACGGGCGTTAGTATACCAATTAGCGGGCTGGCGCAGGTCAGAGATCTTTTTCAAATCGTCCATGCAGTCCAGGTGCGGAAACACGGTTTTCGCGTGACGAAGGAAATAAGGAAAGATGTCGTCTATGTGACCTGCTCCCTGCATAATGTCGCTGAAGATTATGTGTAGATCCACCGGAAGATTTTCGGCCTCAATGCAGTAGCGTCGAAATGAGCCGAAGGCCTGCTGCTGCAAATACGCTTGGAAACAGAATCAAACTTGGTAAGTCGGAATGGCAGCAAGAGCATCATTAAATCAGAATCACATACAGTCGAGTCCATTCTCACTGCAAAGGGACTTGGTCTCTCGCCGTTGGGTAAATTTGTTCAGGATCTTGAGCAGCTCCGACTTCTCCAGTTTGCCCACCAACTCGAAGCCCACGTCCTCGCAGTCGACGTTGGCCTGCACCTGCACCGGCTTGAACAATGTCGACACATGTGTCTCGTGCTTTTTCCGGGAGCACTGAGGCGCCACCCGGTGTAAGCAGCGCGCGGCAGCAACAGCTCTATAAGTAGCTCGTAGGCTGGGCGGGTGGCGAGCGACGCAGATGAGGCTAATGCAACGCCTTGAGTTTTGCATCGCTCCTGCAATCAAATGGAGGGGTGGTTGTTTCAATTGAACAATTAACTAAAATGCATTAGTCGAAACCCACGTTGATGGCTCTGATATAACGGAGCGCGGGAACAGCTGACTGGACAGCTGTTTCTAACAGTGCGACCGCGGGCTATCGACAAAATATACAGCGTGACCCCCAAAAATATACCAAAATATTCTGTCTCATTTAATAATAGATTCATTCTATTTCTGGTGTTCGTTCGCCAAACAACTCTTTTTTGAGTTCAAAATTTTCAGTAACATTTTTCTTATATTCAACATAAACCGAAGTACCCGGCCAATGCGGACTCATCGTCTGCGACCAACCAATTTCACTGTGGCGATTAAATAACAAAAAAAAAAAAATAAATTAATAATATATCCTGTAAATATATTGATGAAAAACATTCCTCGATTTCGATATTCGGTTCAACAAAAGATAGTTAGGGCTATTATATTATTATTATTATTGTTATTGGCAATTAAAAGAATTTATTTTTTTGAACTGTATGAAAAAAAGGTTTACACAAAGAAGGTACACACAATTCAATTTTGTAAGATCCACCACATTCCGAACACACCACGACATACTCAAGTATACCGCGTCAAATGTTGTCGTTAACGAAAATACTAATTTACTAGACAAATCAGCCACTAGTGTAGGCAGAGTATTTGAAATATCACTCACCTTCAATGAAGTAATTAGAAAATAAAGGATACAAGTTCAGACGGACTGGAGTATAAGGAAATATCAAAACCCATTGGAGTTTATTTGATTAATTTTTTAACGACATTCGTGTCATACCATTGCATTGGGCTCTCGACTGGATTACAAAAAAAAACATTAAGGTCATAAATATACTTTTGATTAATCGTTCTATTAGCACGTTGTTTAAAAAAAGCTCATAAGCAAAAAATACACACATTTGTGAAGTTTGCAAACCTTCTCGACAATGCGGATCTCTAAATCTTCTCCTGCCAACGACACAAAAATATCCGAAAAATATTAAAATTATCAAAGCAACCTTCTGTTGATCCCACTTACTGGGGCAGTCTTCCGTTAACTTTGCACTTACACATCAATCCAAGAAATTACATCTCATTACCTTATATAGTTTGTTAAACTCATTGTAGCATATCTACCCTACCATTATCATAAATCAAATGGTATAAAAATCCGTTAATACACTGTGACATTAAAAGACCGCTTAGAATTACATAAGCATTCCAGCGCACAAGCAATATTATCCATCGCTTATGTACAAGCCAATCGCGGCGCGTGGGAATG